GGGTATCCCTGAATGTGTTGATTGCATTGCTAAAGATCACATTAAGTGCTTTTTTGTGATTCCCTTCTGAGGAACGCAGCACACCTGAAGCTCCCAATCATGATGTTTCACTGCACGTATGTGGTACACTTCTTATTGTGTATTTTTGCTAAATTGGTGAAACATTTATGTCGATGGAACCAGTAGTAGTATTAATTCTAAATGAATTTTGCTATGATGGAAGAATTTTCAGCCAGGTTGTAAAATGGGCAGGTGAGTTACAGTTAATTCCTGTCTAATGACGGTGTAGCTTGGTCCCCAGTTTTACATAGCTGTAGTTTGTAGAAGGCTCAGTGACATACAGTAGCTAAATTCATACATAGATATAAACTAAGTGCAGACCTTGGAACTTCAGCTACAAAGGGTATTATTATGTTTTAGTGTTGGCATAAATGATTGTGAATATTTATTTTATAAATCTTAATAGTGGCGTATCTCTTCATACAGAATGCTATGGGTCAGATGTCACCTGTCCTATTAGTAATGAAAACATTGAGGTAAAAAGGGTGTAGTTTTGTTTTCATTAAGTTCACGGGAAACAAGTAAATACTGAATAATTTATGTGTTTTTGAAAATATAGCCTGACTTTATATTATTTTTATGTCAAAACACCCAGCTTGGTGTGCAAAGTTAAATATGAGCAGGAGGCCATTTTCTCTCTTTTTTAAAAATATTTGCATCTTTCTTACATCAAACCATAATAATTTATCTTGAATACGGGCATGTTCTTTCTTGGCAATTCTAGGTGATAGAATTTCATCTGATAAATCCATATTCATGAAGATTTTGATGCTTCCTATTGGACATATATTCAGTGTGTATTTATGAAAATGTCTGTCACTTGGAGGAGAGAGTTTTATATGAGTAGTTTTGTACCGGCTTATAACAACACAGAAGTACTCTTCTAATGTAAAAATTTATCAGGTAGGAAGTAAATCCGCATCATCTGTGATTGGTAAGAATTCTACTGTTTCAATTCCTTACAGTGTAGTTGTCTCCCCCACTGTGTGGATAAATACTTCAAGGGAAGAAATGGGTTATTCTGCCGCTGAATGGCTGTTGGGCACAAAGATACTTAACATTAATTTGAAAAAAGAAAATTATGCGAAGGAATCTGAACAGTTCAACTCAGTTTCATAGGCAGAGTAGCTGTTTGCATTATTTCATTGCTAATAGTTTGTTGGGAAGTGAATGAAAGAATTCAAGTGTGAATGTTCAAGGTCTGCGATATGTGTGTTGTAGGTGTAATAGACACAATACTACTTGCTATCCCTGGTTCCGCCATGATGCAAGCTTGATTGTAAGTTGCAAGGACATGGTTCACAGGTTGGCAGTTTGTGTCATCTTGTTTGAAGAACTGGAGAATTGAATGTCAGTGCAGACTGTAGTTTGAGTTTAGTAATTGTCAACCACTCACTGAAGTTTCTTTAAAGTTCATAGCAAGAAAAGTTATGCGATGTTTGCCCCATAATACATTATTTTCCATGAGATTCTTTTCTGTGACCATTCTGAAGAAAACATGGTTTTGTTGAGATGAGCACTCTTGTGCCTGAATTTGTTGACTGAAATATTTGAGTTTCTGAATACTGAACTAGACAGACTGCAGTTCATACCTGTGTTCAGTGTAAGCACATAAAACATTTTCTCACGAATATGTATAACAGTAATGCTCATAACAAAATATTTATCTGTTTAAAATTTTGTAACTATAAGTGTTAAACAAACTCCATTTAACATGTCCATTGCCTCAATGTGGGAACATTAATTGAAATTAGAGAATCAGATATTCAGGAAAATATTTAGTTTTAAGAAAAGTGGTGTAACTTTGTATTTGAATTATATAATGAGGAGATGCATTATTCTTACTCTTTACCTAATATTGTTAGGATGAGATAGAGGGACATGTAGAATGCATGAGGAATTGAGAAATGAAGTTCTTAAACAAATAGTGGAGGATGTTGACTGGGTTCGACTGGCTCAGGATAGAGTCCAGAGGGAAATGTTTCCATTAATGGCAAGGGATTTCTGGACCAGCCGAGTGTTGGCTTTTCAAGGCAGGCTGTGTGCCTAGTTATACCTATTTTCATATTTTGATTGATTTTTATGTCTGATACCTGAATTTCCAGCTGTTAGTCATTTCTTGAAACTAATATTAAGAAGTGGAAAAGTTTCAGTTTGCTTTCTGTCCAGGGTTCAATGGTGACAATAATGATTAAGTCTTGTGCATATGCGTGAGAATCTGTTTTTGTAATTCATGGCTTGTTTTTCACTCAGCATTGTAGAATATTATTTAAACACATACTAAGAGCATGCAGAAGTGCTTTTATGCTCTTTGCTGCGCTGTGGTCCAGACCTATGGCCTGTTGTAGAACTTATTTAAGCTGTTACTTAAACAAGGCAGTGTTGCCAGCCTGTGAACTTATCATTCATATAATCAGTACTGGAAAACTTGCCTCAGTGGGCAACAAAGAGGTTAGCTTCTCAGCCTCAGTCAATAGCATCCTGTAATTAATCGGTGTACCTGTAGGAAACTGTTAGCGTTATGATGATTGCTTGTTATATTAATTGATTTGTTTCACATGATAAAAGAGCCTAATTCATGTTCTTCCCACTGCCATGACAATAGTCATTGTTAACTTTATCATGTAAATATCATCCTTTGAACTTTGACTGGTCTCTGTGGAAGTTCAAGATGTTGCACCTGCCTTCAGTTAATTTACCGATCTCATTTTGAAGCTCATGATGTTACCCTGACTGGTTCAAATGCTTTGTCCTAAAACATTTTCTTCATGTGTGTTATTATGCATTGACTTTATACCTTTGTGGTTCAAAGATTTGGCTTATTTAGATTTCCAAAATATGAAGAAGGTTAGTCATAATTTCAAATATTGTAGTCACTTTGTAATATTTATCATACATTTAATGCAGAATTTATAGGCATGCTTACAATCTGTTATCACTCCTCAGAGATTGATTAATAATTATCATGAAACAGGAAAGAAAATATTTTATGCTGTAGCCATGGTGTTATTTTCCACAAAAGATTGGCATTCTTTAAGGACCTTTCCTGATGAAAACTTTCATTTTCAGATGCTAGTATTGCTAGAAGGTGATCCGCAACTATTTGATACAAAGCAAAAATTGTGGTATGATATGGGGCGTAGTTCCAAAGCAAGTTTGTCACTTGCTGTCAGAATGCCCGGAAGTTTCAGTGACACAGTGATGCTTATGCAGCCAACAGTTGGCTTTGTGTAATTTTTTATTTTTCTGCTATGTACTCCAGTAGTCTTATATTTATTTATTTTTATTTGTTACGGAACTCTGCTGTGTGATACAGATGAATGATTATTATTATATAAATGTTAATAATGATATTACATTTTTCTATAAAACAGAAGATTCTGGCAGTGTTATTCTGAAGACATGAACCAACCATGCCCTGTTTATCCTGCTTTTCCAGCTCCTGTTAGCATGGAATCCTGTGCAGAAGCTGTGATCTGTAAGTAACTTATTACAATATTAACCATTAGCAGTTATCACAATATTTATTTTATTTATACAACTGTATTTCAGCCCAAAACTGAAGTGATCTGGCATAGTGATTAAGAGAAAAATTCCATTTTTACCAAGAATTGAACCGTTGTACTCCAGCATATATAGCCTGTCGTTCTCAAAACTAAGTTGCACTAACCTAGGTTTCTGTATGTTCAGCAGACACATGTCGGTAGAGATGAAGTGAACACTAGACAGCTGTTTCATGAAATCATGTCTCAGAATGATAATTCATTCATTCATAATAACATCGCTATAATTGCTATGTATACAGTCTGTTTCATTAAGTGATTACTACTTATTCAACAATTTATTTAATTAGTTTATTGATTAATATCTATGACATACCATAAAATGTTAATCTGGAGTTCAGAGTGTGACCACAAACATTATGTATTGCTAAGGAACATGTGTTCACTGTCTTCAGAGTAATCCTGTAAGGTAGCCCTGAAGATGGAGGTGATAAACTTTTCCAAACATTTTTAAGACAACAGCATCATAACCCAGAAAACCTTAATTCAGATTTTCCCCACTGTGGAAATTTCAACTGTCACAAACATTACATATGTTTAATTTAGTCTGTTGATGCATCATTTATTAAAATTGTGATTTTTCTTATCATTAACCTCAGTACCTCTGTGTTACGTCCTGAGAGAACTGCCCCTAGCATCTGATTTTAGGTAATATGTTTATTGTGATTTGTTGTAAACTTTCGTAATATTCTCATTACATTTTCTTGCATTATAACCAAATTGAAATAGTTATGTCACCAGTAACAAATTTTACACAGTATACAAGAAAATGTTGAAAGAATGAGCTCCAAAGCAATGTTATACATGTTATATGTATTCATAACAAAGCCTCTTTGCAAGGTAATAAAACAGAAACAATTAATCTGATATGAATACAAATCATTCAAGGAATATGTACAATGCAGAATGTTTTCCTCTTATGAATCGTGATTTATCACTTGTCTTCGTGTATATGACTGGATAATATTAAAATTTATATAGTATTAAAAATATATTAAAATTGGCCGTCAATCACAATATAAGATAATTAAAAGATTAAAATATCATTTTTCGTTCCGTATCGAGTACTCGATTTACATATGGAACATTTACGACATATTTCGGCTATTATAGAGCCGTTATCAGGTGTTATGTTATAAACTTTTTAACTGAATTACTGATACAATATGAAGGACGAGAAAATGATAAGAAAAATGAAAACTAAAAAGCATTAAAAATCAGTAATTCAGTTAAAAAGTTTATAACATAACACCTGATGACGGCTCTATGATAGCCGAAACATGTCGTAAATGTTCCATATGTAAATCGAGTACTCGATACGGAACGAAAAATGATATTTTAATCTTTTAATTATCTTATATTGTGATTGACGGCCAATTTTAATATATTTTTAATACTATTTAAATAAATCACAATATGACGCACCTACAATATCTTATTAAAATTTATTTTAAATATGTTTTGAAGTGGATTGAACTGGCAAAAAATAGGGTCAGGCAACTTTGTCAGTACCACGTAGTCAGACATGCGGACAAATCACACCCAAACACGAACGTTGTTGTCCCAGGAGCATGTTGCGACAGCCATCCCATTCCCTGCCACAGACAATGATGTGATGCGGTTCTCATGACCAGTCAGACATCCTGAAACAGTTACATGTCAGTGTATTTTTAGAGAGATTTGAAAATAAAATAGTGCCAATTAATTACATTGCAAATCTTACATAATCCTACTCTGATCCTGTCTGAGTAATGTTTTTCTTTCCTCATAGTTGGTATCATTACCATTGTGCTGGTTCTTCAGTGTGTCCCAGATGTGGACAGATGAGTCGTCACTTCCACACAACACGTAGCGACCAGAGAATGAGAGACCACAGGATGTAAATCCTGAAGTGCTGTTCGGAGGACAGTAAGTTGCTACGTTCTGATCAGAACGTATGTCGAACATCCGAGAAGTCTTGTCCTCAGATCCTGTTGCAAATGCGTAGCCTGACGGGTGGAACTGCAAATCATTTAGCTGTCTATTAAAATCTAAACAAAAAATAGTGTTTACTGCATTGACAGGAAAATTTGTGTCCAGTTGCGCATTTCCGCAGTAAAATCTTGTTCTTCCAAATGATAAACCTGGTCATTGTGCCAAATGAGGGCTTATGAAAGAAAACATTTTCTCACAGAATCACTTTGTCCTTAAAGTGAAATAATTGGCAGTGACAGTAAAGTTCCATATATGTCAGTGGTGTATAAAAAATGAATGGTTGAAATAAACATGAAAAGAAGCCCACACGAGACTGTACAGTTCTCATGTCTGTGTATGAACTGCTCTTTGCTGGCATATGATAGACAACTTACACAAACAGAGTTGACGTCAGATGTGTGCCCAAAAAATGTTTGCTTGGGCTTCTCATCACGCAAATCCCACAACCTGCAAGATTTGTCCACACTGCCAGTTATGTAGGTCTTGGAGTCAGGTGACAGAGAGATGGATACGACATCTCCTGAGTGGGCTTCGAACTCCAGGGAGCGCTTGCCTGCCTCCAGGTCCCACAAGCAGCTGCAAGGACATACAGAACCTGCGTCTACATAAAACATTGTCCAGCACTTTTCGGCAACATCATTAGTGGACAGAAAATTTGTGGTACCTGAGGGTGTTGCAAAAGAAATTTTTAGTACAGTGTTTAGATGTAATGGAAAATGTTGGAATATTAAATAATGCCAACTTTCTGATGCATACGCTTCTCCTCTATGTTTAGAATACTCAGATAGAAGGTTGTGGAAACTGGAGATGTAGCTTAGATGGGGGGAAACAGGAAATACATACAGAATTTTTATAGCTTCTTAAGGACTGGAAAAGTAGGTCAGCTGGGAGAAACAAGAAACTTGTACAGAGTTTCATTCGGTCTATCAAATGAGTTTTAATGGTATGAGCATGTGATTGAAATATGGTAAATGAATGTGTAGAAAATTCAGGTGTACTCACATCTTCATGTCTCCTGACCCAGTAATAATTGTCTTGTCATCCAGAAAGCGACACGAAGACAGAAAGCCCTCGTATCCCAGAAGCTCTCGCACGATCTTTGCTGCTCCCGTGGAGTCACGATTGTTTAGGTCGTATATGGTACACATGTTGTCCATTCCCCCGCATGCTGTAGCAGACATTTCCATGAGAGGATGTTGTGGCATTGGTCAAGTCACCGTCGAGTTATTTGCTGTGTGACTTACCGACATAGTTTCCAGATGGTGCAAAGGCCACGCTCATGACCCAGGATGATCTCAGTGGGATGACCTGCACCTTGTTACCCGTCCATGTGTCCCAGATGATGAGTTTGCCGTCCAATGATCCTGTCACTGCGTGCCTGTGGTGAGTATCTGCTCTTAATTGTGAGTGTAAAACAGCGTGCCTTACTCTAAAAGGGGCAGGGCTCTTCTAAATAATACTTATACCTCCATAAGCCACGTCACATCATTGTCACAAAAGTCAGTCTGTTAATCTATAGTGAAACAGTCACTGTGGATTCTAGGTAAGAAATATACATGAAATGTATGCTGTGAGTGAAGTAAGTTATCGGATATTGAAGCAGATGGTGTGTATAGTTACCAAGGCCTTTTCGGGATTTAAATTGCTGAATTGTCTGTATACATGTTCTTTGGTTTGAAGTTACATTCAACAAAATTTCCAAAAGAAGTATGAAATATTTTTCTTAAGTTTTAAGTTTTCTCTTAAATATTTTGCCGTACATGCACAACATTAGATTGAAATTACTTCACTTAACTGTGAATGACATTTTTAAACTCTTTCTTTCATAATTTCATAAACATTAGAGTTATTTCTGTTGTTTTTTGTTTCCTTAGCTAACTGATTTTTCCACACTGAAATGCTTAATTCATCTTAAATCAGTGTCTACCTTATACTAATCTGTCTTTACCATTTTTTGCATGTTACATCAATAAGCTTTATCACCATGTGATGCTTGAGCCAGGTAGACATGCGTCGCACTAACATACCAGTAAACTGTTAACCGTGGAACTAAAGTATTGTTGGCAGCCCTGTAATACAGATATTTTAATTCCCTATTTCTGTGTGATATATGTTAAATCTGTCTTTGCTTTTGAGGATTGTACATCAAAAGATACTAGAGTTAGATGTACCTCAGAAGTTTGCACAGTTACTGTGTTATTGTTAATGAATGTAACCTCCAGTGGCATATAATCTTGAAGGAGAAAGATTGTTTGATTTGTGTTTAGTATGGAGACTCAGCGGTAGGGTCACAGCAATGAAAGGGTTACGCACACACACACATGTATACATAAATGCAGCCAGACTGGACCGTGGTCACCATCGTAATGATAAGGCTTCTGACACGTGTGGGCACTTGCCTGCTGTCTCCACTGAAGTGTACTGAGTTGACCTTGTTGATGTGACCCTTGAGTAGCTTCTTTGTGGTGAGCCGCACTTTCGGAGCATCTGCCATGTCTCCACAGATGTCCTGTAGTGTTTTGTCTGCTACCTTGTCCTGCTCCTCCTACATGGAGATACACCTGTGTTCTGTATCAGTTTATTAGCCCTAACCCTGACAAAAAGTGCACAAATGCGACCCATGTCTTGTGGGGGCATGTCATTGCTACAACCCTGACAAAAAGTTCACAAATGCGACTCATGTCTTGTGGGGGCATGTCATTGCTACTGGAGTGAAGAGTCGGAGGTGGCAGCGACAACACGAGTTACCTAATCTGGCTGGAAAACCTGAATGTAGTTTACACCCTTCCAATATATTTCCCCAAAGTCCATATTATATTTCCATTGATGCTTAGGGACTTCCATGAAGTTTCCCAGTGATTTCATGAACTTTTCTTGTTTCCCTCTGTAATACATACCCTCTTATTTGTCTAAGATTAATTACCTCAACTAATATTGAAACTTCTGCCCCGTATCATGAGTCATGGCTTCAATAATATTTTTAACAAGCTATGAAATAATCTGGTTTAGACTTTATGCATTTCTTGTCATTATTTTAATTATTTTCATTGTGTGTATTTGTATGTGTTGCTGTAGTAACTTTTTTCAGTGTATTTTCTACCATTACGTTTCTTTGTTTGTAATTATTTTGTAACTTTTGTCTGGGTGCTGGTGATATTCACTGTCAGAGTCCTCGTAAACCAAACTAATCTATAAATTGTATATAAACACCTGCCATCTTTTTTCACTTCAGTTTAGATTGTGAAGGCCACAGCATTCCTCCTGGTGGTACAAATACCACAGACATAAAATTGTGTGTTTAGAATCCCTGCCTTGCCTAAGAGTTCAACAATTTTCTGTCGTACATAAAACAACCTCACAGTAATTATGAACCTGACAGCAAAGTGTGGGATGTTTTAAGGTTTAACTTGCCTTGATTTTTTTCATCATGTCGTCCAGTTCTTTTCGAAGTTTCTGTAATTCTGGATCATCTTTGGGTGGCATGGTATTGCCCGTTCTGAAAGGAAGATGCAAACCTCAACATCACTCGACAGTCGTTACAGACACGCTGAATTGCGCCCTATCCAACTTTAATACAGCGGAAGGAGGTCTGTGGGAAGATCGAGAGTAGCGGATGGACCAGGTGATAAATGATGCAGAAAGGAGAAACACAACATGAAGAGAGGTGACAGAAAGGACAGACAAGAATGGAAACTCGTGTCTCACACGGAACCCAAACAGAATGAAAGGTAAGAATCGATTTGAGGGCAGAGGGAGCTGTTCGCTCCAACGTTTTGCTTGTGTTTCCTTGCAGTACCTTTGATGAAACTGATCTGCTTCAGACACCAAGTAGTGTAGTAGAAGTTTACGAACATTTCAGAGGTGAAATGTCAGTAACTTTCTACCAGAATATAAAGCACAACAGTCCAGAAGACAGCCATCATTATTATTATTATTATTATGAGTTGATTTTGCAAACCATGCACAATGCGTATATCGAATGTTACGTTTTATACATCTTCCGCATTTATTTTCTGATAAATTGTTAAAGAACACATCAGACAGGCAAGTTCTACTGTCCTTATGTACTACCTCCACAGTCTTACCGTGCCAGTGGTCCCAACTGGAATGCCCAGGCACTTGCAGCGTGTTTCCTGCATAAACCATTACATCCTATTAGAGTAATCCCATTAGAGTAGCTTTATTAAATTAACCTGCTTATTGTGGAGGCTCGCATAATCCCTGACAGGCAGAAAACTGATCTAAACCTAATGGCAGCCCCCTCCCTCCCTCCCACAAGCCTCCTGAAGCAACACTCGGACAGAAGACCTGTTTCAATATCATTTTCTTTAGGTGAAATTTTGAATATTAGTTTACATCAGTTTTTTATTTGTTTCGACTACGTATGTGACCCACTTTTCTTAAAGACCAGGTCCAGCATTGCAGTGACAGATGTAACGATGAGTTTTGCAGAGTGATGTATACTTTTTAATATTATGAACTTTTTGCCTTGTATTTTGTGATAAAACATGCAGCTGAAACGACTTTTTTTCTTTGAAGTAAATTATCATAACAAAAGTTGTGTATTTTTATAACATCTACGATGGTGTATAATCTCAGGACCCAGTATTAAATTATTCTTATCTCCCTTTCCCCCATCATAAGTTCGTGCGACCGCCATGTTGTTATTACTGATTGTAGGAAATTGAAAAGCACGCTTTTGGGTGGCCCGAAATAACACATCGTCAATGCCGAATTTTGTCAAAATCCTCCCAGCGGTTTTCAAGTTCAAACATGCGGATACATGAACGCATAATAATCGAAATAAAATAAATTCATCGTGGAAAAAACTGTGGTTAGGTGTCTTAGATTTCGATGTTGGGTTATTCCACTCCAACGGAGAAACACGGAAACAAAAGTCGTTCTCGGAGCGTGTCAAAACTGCTGGCGTGAAATGATAAAAAAGAAAAATGTGATACGGTATTCAGTTTAAGTAGAGTTGGTTACATGACACCGTTACTTTCCATCACCTCCCAGCTTAGAAGCTGAGACTCTCCGTCGAAGATCTACGCATTCTAATCTCGCTTTTGTTGCTGATAAGAAATCTTTGTCGGTTCCCCGTTTTTCAAGTAGTGCGCATCAATGTGCCGGCAAATTGTCTTTATAGTGTTGTATCTAACAGGTAAAATTGGTTTATATATATGTAAATATATAAGTATATATGTTTAAAATATAATGCGTATGAAACTTCGTCTAATAATAATAATAAAGTACGACTGTGTTTGATTTATCTGCCGGCATCCTTTGAGATACAAAAAAGTGCAATGGAATTATTCTTGGAGCTAAGCCGTGATTAATATGGAATTGTCACATAGCTAATTATTATAGAGAGCTGTAAATTATGCTTCTTGTTGGATAACATATTGAAAATGAATACATATTTGCTTCACAGGACACATTGCGTTGTTGGATTCGGATGGAGAGTGTCATGTTGGATTTCAGGGCGACGTATGTTTGCATGGAGAAGCCAATACTTCTATTGACAGGGCGTCCAAGGTTCATAGTGCTTTAGAGGACAGATACTTGAAGCCGCATGAAAGTATTGACGTTGGCAGTAAGTGAATACTATTAATTATGCGTACTTTAAGGACTTTCCGTTCTGTTTATAGTATTGAAAATTGCCGGCATGTATGAATGCGCATGATAGTACCGCCCATATATGAACTGTGTGAATTTTTAATGATTTATGAGAGTTAAAAAATGTGTTTTCGGCAAAGGATTTGATTTCGTAATAAGATGGAATGTGGAAATTGTGTTCTGATGCTGTGATAGTGTTATACCCTGGAGATAGTATGTTTCTCCGAAACGTTGGCAAATACCGTCGGATGCAATCTTTGGTCACAAGTAATATTTGTAGGACTTTTTATAGCAGCCCTGGTATAATCTGTGGAAGCAACAGCTGCTGGAGTCTGTAATCTGCGTGAGGCATGTTTGTTATTCGTGTGCAAGAAGAAGCTGTCGTAGCTCAGAAGTGCTTGTTTTGTGCACAACAACGTAAAAATGATAGTTTTGCGTGTGACTTTACTACCGTTTTTATTGTACTTCGTAATTTTATTCCATGAAGCATCTCTGAAAGACAGAGAATATAATGGTAATACAAAATAATGTTTTTATGGATACTCAAGTTTTTTGCCCTGTAGTACGATCACCGTCTTTATAATGTGCAATGATTTATTGGCATTTCAGTATAATAAATGCCAGTTCAATTGCACGTTAGTGGTTATCTACCTTTATCAAGGCCGTATTTATCGGGTGGTTTGGGTTACTTGAATTAAAACTGCCCTCTAAATTTCTGGACAAATATTTAGTTATAGAAGAAGAATTTTGGTGATGAAGCAACATATGTTAAGCTTGTGTACATAGTTTATTCGTGGTTATGTGTAACTAGAAATTGTTTTTGTTAAATGCTTCTGCTGTATATATGAATTTGGGTGAATTTGAAGTGTCATGGGTTTGTTTCCCACATCGTGTGCATTAACTTGAAGAAACAGCAGAAAACAGTGATGCCCCATAGGAATGTAATTCTTATTATCTATAAAATCCCCATATACTGTCAGGGATTATATGCCATGTAGTTGGGTAGAAATTTACCACCATTTCAAAGGTGCTTACTGCCCCCTGATGGTGGTGGCATTTACAGAAGACTGTCATTTTTGGAAAATAACATCATGACCCTATGATGTACATGTTTACATACCAGTTAGATGACAGTCCATTAGCATGATGTATTTCTATAGAGTTTCATGAAAATTGCCTCATTCCTCTGTAGTTAGGTGGGCACAGATAGAAGGCTGTTCTTTCTCTTCAAGATCAGTCTAAATATGCCACAAATCCGACAGCAACAGGTTGTTCAACTTTGTCGTTACATGCTTAATAAGATTTTGTTGCACTCGTAACTTGGTGTGTCTACTACTGACCCACATTGTATTGGTATGCGGCCATCCGTGTAAAATTTGTAAGGGAAAGCATTGAGCAATCATGCACGAGAGCTTTCACATTCTTTAGAAAAGTTAACAGTTCTTTAAATTACTACCAGTTGATTTGTGTGGGTGAAAAACGTTTCATGGCTGAATAGTCAGCACTTTTTTCTTGTTCAGGACGAACCAGTTTTTGTTCTTGTCATCGAGACCAACTGTTGTGACTGATGCTTTTCCTGGTTTATCTCAGTCCCTTCATACAAATACTTGGATAGTACCTTGAAATAAGCCACAACCACTTCCAAAACTTTAAGAGTTTTGCAATTTGGTGTGTGGTCTATGCAGTTGAGAAAACATTGTTAAATAAAGTAGAAAAACACACAACTTAGAAGGATTTGAGATTTTCATGGCAGTGAGTGTGAACATAGTTGCCTTCTACATACAAACTTGTTCTGTCACCCTGAGAGGGGTAAGAACTGAAAGGTGTTTGTAAACACTGTTGGGGCAGTTATATGGTAACAAGAATGATGGGAAACCTAATGGAAAGAGGGCCTTTGGAAGACAGACAGAAGGGATAATATTAAAATTGGATCTGGAAAGCAATTGTGAAGGTGTGGTCTTGAACTTCTTTCAGTTCATACCATATCAGAAAGTTGAAGTTCTGATGAGATATATATTCATATCATGCTCAATTTTTTGGTTTGATTTTGTTTTTAGGAATTTGGTGAAATTTTGAATGAAAGGAATGCTGATCTCTGCTACAACCATGTTTTTTTTTTCATAACAAATGACAGTTTGGAGATTTTTCAGATATATTTGATGAACGTACTGTAGGTTTTAACATAAAGGCTTCTGAAGATAAGATAAATACAGTAGTGAGGTCATCTGCCACATGTTAGTGGGAGGGGTCCTTGGACTGTGATCATCTTATAAACAGAGCAATATAACTGTGTATACACATTTCCAAGTGCAGAGGATAAATCATGTTTGTTTCCATTTGCACAAAATGGAATTGTATGATAAACCCTTCTCATAAGTCCACATGGTTAAATGTTGGAGTTGCTGAAAGTGGAAATTTAAAGAATATGGACACTTTTCTGTGGAGTTGAAAATAAAAATTATTGTGAGTCACAGCTGACACATTTTGCGTCACCGTACAAGGACATTTTTATTTCTTCTATCGCCCATCCTTCACCATTTTTTGGCATAGTCTATTACGGACATTACAAAAATTAACCGTTCTTTTATTATGTTACAGCGTCCGGTTGCGGGGTTACCTAAGGAAATATATAGATATTCTGGCATGCACAATAAATCTTCTTTGTTTTGTTTTTGGTTTATTCTAAGGCTGTCTTCAGCATCTTCTCAAATATAATAAAAACTATTTTGTTAGATTTTAATACAGTAACAGTAACAGCTAGCTTCATGTTATTTCAATTATATCTGAGAAGAACTTAAATGTGGTCACTCTTGTTACAGTAATCACTGTACTTTAGACTAACATAAAAATCTTTGTTCTGTGCGACAGAAAAAGTGTAATGTCTTTCTACAGCATTTCCATGTTTCTGCGTATCTTCTTGATTATGTTTTTCTACTTGGGGCTGATATTTATTATGTCTCTTTCTTTCAACACGTTCTTATCAGTGTATAATTTTTTATTGGTGATGGTTTTGTATAACAGTTGTTTTTTTCGTTTGATAAACAAACTTTGTAAATGCTCTTCGTCCTCTGTTCAGTAGTACACGACAAAAACAGAACTTTAGCAAAGTGTGAAACATTTTCTGAATGTGTTATTTGCAGATTTTAATGTTACACATATTTTGTGTTGTGTACCAACTTTTGTATATGATTTGCGCTTTCTTAGAAAAATAATAACATTAGAATTTAGTTTCATGTATGTGAGCATTTTTAATGGACTGATACGGACCAAAATTAAATTTTCCATACTTCCACATTCTGCATTTCTTGCAAGACATTTTGATCTTGTATGGATATATACGATCTCCTACGTCTTCCCTGCATATGATTTAAAGTTGTTTTGTGATAGTACTGGAGGATCGGACAGTTGAATGCTTTTGGCCTCTTCCCATCTAAGCACATCTGTGTTTCTCATTTCTGTTTTCATCTTTGTGTGATGTGGGTGTAGCCACTAAGCTGTGAGAACAGTGTGTGAGGCCAGAATATTTATTTTATTTTTGTATTGTTCTCTCTTTCCTATGAAATGGACTGCGCACGTTAGTGCTCAAGTACTTGTTTGATTCAGAAAAGAAGATTTGGTACATGCAGTATGAATAATTTTGTTGAGAGAATCACTTACAGGGTGATACATTTTATTGTGGTCTTCTAGGTTGTTGCACCACATAGCATTCTGGTTGAATAAAATATTTTGGGGAATATTCATGCCATTTGTTGAAACTACGTTGATTGCGTTGATAGAATGTCCATGACCCAGATTGATATGGTACATTTACATTGTGGTGCACCTCGCTACTTTGTCTCTGCTATGGCATATGTTGCAGAATTTATTACATAATTTTTTAAAAAAAATATTTTTAGTTTGGAACTGAAACTGTTCTGCTGTAGAGACAATGGATTTTTAAATTTATATTATTGCAACATATAAAATGAAGTGGTACCATGAGTGTGCAAGGGTAAGAACTTACTGTTACACGAGGACAGTGTTAATTTATAAGTATCATGTGTTGTTGCCAGACCTTTGATTTTTTTTTATTGGTGTGGGGTTGAGACTTCTTACAATGCTTATTCTGAAGATTTCTGTCTTCTGGGTTGTTGCGCTGTGTAGTCTGGTCGATGTTAACCAACGTTTCGGAGGTCATACTGCCTCCGTCATCAGGCCCTGTTGACGGAGGCAGTATGACCTCTGAAACGTTGGTTAATATCGACCAGACTACACAGCGCAACAACCCCGAAGATGGAAATCTTCATAGTTTCTGTTTGTAGACTTTCTATTGGTGACGGTGGCTACGAACCAGACCGATGGTTTCAAGAGGTTCATTCGCTCGGCTAAAGTGTACAACATCCCAGTCAAGGTGAGATGTTCCTTGCACTCAGAAGGACTCTTTTTGACTCCTGGTGTTACTTTGAGACTGTTAATTCGTCAGCATTGTTCCCAGATGATTTGATCATCATTGTGATGACTTATGTCTGATGGATGTGTACATGGGTTTGGTTTATTCCAGGTTTTGGGCCTTGGAAAGAAGTGGGAGGGGGGAGATGTGCACAGATATGCAGGCGGAGGCCACAAGATTAATCTCTTCAAGACGGAATTGCTCAAACACAAGGACATTGCAGAGAAGATTATTATGTTCACTGACAGGTGTGATGCACTTTAGTAATTATTTGTAGTGTCCTCGTTATCATCTTTCTCTTTTCTGGCTTTTATTATCCAGGATTCCTGTTCTGACTCATTCAGTAGTGCTTTGTTTGTTCCTACAGCTATGATGTGATCTTGCTATCAGGAGTGGACAAGATAGTGGAGCAGTTTAAAAATTTTGATGCCCGAGTGGTATTTTCTGCCGAAGGCTTTTGCTGGCCTCATGAGGGGCTGGCGTCCAAGTATCCTACTGTCCAGAGGGGGAAACGGTATCTAAATTCTGGAGGTATGGTGTTTGTTTCCTGACAGACATGTTGTAGATCATTATATATACAGGAAGTGCCACAACAGAATATCCATTGCTTAACTGCGTGCTCTTGGGATCATTTTGAGGCGAAAAGTTCAAATAAACGTGGGTCTGATCTGCAACGGTTTGTCGAGAAAATGAGCATTTTATTGCATTTGTAACTTTTACATTATTTCCATTTAATTTCTGGTTATATTGTTGTTCTTTTGTTCTTGTTAAGTTTAGACTCAAATTGAACTTTCAGATAATCACATGACTTGAAATGACCACCCTGATTGTCGTTGCACTGTTGAGCCCTGAGTCATGATGATCCTTTTTGATGTTTGCGCCAGAGTCCATTATTCAATTCAGCAGCTTAGCCCCACTGTTTCCCTTGATAGCATACACGAGGGTTTTCATGTGGCCCCAGAGAAAGTAGGCCAGAAGTGAAAAATCTGATAATCTCATTCCTGGGGTCTTGTGATGCCATCGCGACGACCAATGCCACGGCCCTCGCTGTCAGGTTTGTAGTTGAGTGTTCATTGTCATCCGGAGACTTATCTGCGGTAAATTTTGATTCTTTTGAGGGCATTGCGAAGTTTGGCGTCGCGACGCCTTTTGTCGATTCTCTAACATAGTGCCCAGTGTTACTCCAAGGTCTTAAGTGATATTTGTGGGGTGTTGGCAAGGCGCCGTGAATCCCTTGTCACAGTATTGGTGACGATGTTATAAATCCGATGCCAGGTTTCGCGACGCTGAACGTTAGTAAGCCTGGCATTGAGATTACTTTGAGTGGCGCCAAATTTACTGCCATTAAGTCTGCGGATGACATTGGAAAGGAAACTATAAAACCAACGCGCAGCTACGCGACGCCAAGTGAGGGCGCCAGAAATGTGAGTTAAGCCCTTGGAATATAATTGGGCACGCTGTAAGAAGGTCACCGCCAGGTTTCACCAACCGTAATATCGGGACGCCTTGAAAGGATGCCGAATTTACCGAGGACGAGTCTCCATATGACGTGGAAAAGATGACTAGCAAACCGACGATGAGCGTCCCGAAGTCTTTCGTCGCGTTACCGATGGTAGCGATGCCAGCCAATTTTACCGCAGACGAGAGGCTCCGTCTGCCAGTGGAAGCAACAAAACCGACGCCGAGAGTCGCGACTTTCATAATCGGGACGACGCGAAAGGACATTATATTTAGGGTTCGTGAGCCTCGAGGTGCCTTTGAAATTGAAGTTTGAGAAGGGACGCTGACGCCGAAATGTAACTGAAGGCAACAGAAGACGTGGGAACCAATGAGACACGATTCTGGCAGAGAGACGCCGAGCGTAGCGATTAAAAGTGGCAGGGCGCAGTGGGCAGACGCCCGATAATAAAGATAACAGAAGAGAAGGCATGAGATAGGAGGAGGAGAGAGAATAGAGAGGAAAAGGGAGAGAGGAGAGGCGAACGTGGGGAAAGGAGGATAAGCGAAAGGTAAGAAGGAACGAGAGAAGAGAAATGAATAGAGAAAAATACAAAACAGAGGATAAGAGGATTGAAATGAGCTAGAAGAGAGAAGAGAAGAGAAGCGGTGATGAGAGGTGGGGAGAGTACAAGAGAAGAGAATGTAAAGAAAGAAACAATGGAGATGAGAGGATAGGAGAAGTGAAATTAAGAGAAGATAGGTGATGAGAGGAGAGAGGGAGTTGACGAAGTGCAGGTTAGATTGGATTAGGTTAGGTTGGGTTGGGTTGGGTTAGGTTGGGTTGGGTTCGATTGTGTTAGGTTAGGTTGGGTTGGGTTGGGTTAGGTTGGGTTAGATTAAGTTGCAGTGGCGGCGTCTGTGGAAAAATTACGTCTTTCGAAGACGCCGCTACGCTTGGTGTAGCGTTATACCACGTTCCTTGGCCCTTCCCTGGCGTCTTTTGGTGGCGTCTTCGCGAATGGCGTCGCGACGCTTGGCGTCGATTTTCCAGTCACTGTTCAGGGTCATCTGGAGACATGTCTGCTATAAGTTTGGCGTCATTTTAAGACGCCGAGGTGGAAGGCTTCGCGACGCCGGGCGTCGGTTTTCTAAAGAATCGCGAAACGTCATCCTGAGGGTCTGAGTCCCATTCCCGGTGTTTTGGTATGGCGTCGCGTCGGAGGGCGTCGCGACGCTCGACGTCGGTTTTATAGTTTCGTCTTCATTGCCTTCCTGATACTTATCTGTGTTGATGTAGTGTATTTTTAGCGCGTAGCGACGTTCGGCGTCGAGACGCTAGGCGTCGATTTTCTAAAGTCGCTCCCAATGTTATCTACAGGGTTTTAATCTCATTCCTGTGGTCTTGTGAAAGAATGAATGAAGATGGGAGGATGAGAGAAGTGAAGAGAGGAAATGAGGAGAAAGAAGAGAGTTGACCATAGTGCAGGATAGGTTAGGTTAGGTTAGGTTGCAGTGGCGGCCGTGGCGTCTGCAGCAAAATTACATCATTCGAAGGAGTCGTTTTTCTAGGATCGCGCCCAGCGTTATACCACGTTCCTTAGGCCTTTCCTAGCGTATTTTGGTGGCGTCTTAACGAATGGCGTCGCGACGCTCGGCGTCGGTTTTCCAGTCATAGTTAATTATCATCTGGAGACTTATCTGATGTAAGTTTGGAGTCATTTTAAGACTCCGAGGTGGAAGGCATCCCGACGCCGGGCGTCAATTTTCTAAAGACTCGCGAAACCTCCCAAGGGTATGAGTCACATTCCTGGGGTCTAGATAGGGCGTCGCGACGCTCGACATCGGTTTTCTAGTTTCTTCTTCAGTGTCTTCCGGATACTTATCTGGACTGATTCAGCGTATTTCGTGGGCGTCCCGACGCTTGGCGTCGATTTTCTAAAGTCGCCCCCAATATTTCCCAAACGTTTTGAGTCATATTCCTGGGGTCTTCTGCTGGCGTCGCAGTGTTCGACCTCGCGACGCTCGGCGTCGGTTTTTATTTTCGTCTTCATTGTCATTTGGATACATATCTGCGGTAAATGTTGCGTCATTTGAGGGCGTCGATTTTCTAAAGACTCGCGAAATGTCATCCCACGGGTCTGAGTCACATTCCTGGTGGTCTAGGTATGGCGTCGCGATGTCGGTTTTCTAGTTTCGTCTTCAGTGTCTTCTGGAGACTTATGTGGGTTGATGTGGCGTCTTTTGGCGGCGTTGCAAAGTTCGGATTATATAGCATTCATTGTCAAGGTAAATGCACATCCCAGTAGATGGCCATCTTCAAAATTTTAGAAGTTTACTTTGTTATAATTATTCGATTTTTATTAATTTATTCTTTATTGAACAGGCTTACTCATAAAAATTAGTTTTTCACTTAATCATGATATACTGATTTGTCCAATTTATAAATATTTGTATTTTATTGTATATCTTAGCTCTAAGATTCTCCTGTTCCATTTGTTTACTATTAAAATGAACACACATTTGATTTGGATTCCCCATTTTATGTTCTAAGAAGACGTGCATACTTATGTCTGCAAATATATATATATATATAAAATTCACTTATTTTGATGTTAATATCTTCTATGTTATCACCTCCTGTGTCTCTGTCCTTTAATATTTGTGTTCAAACATCAGAGAAAATTTATTTTTGCTAGCTTGAAATTATGAAACTCAAATAAGAAGGCTAATCTGTATGCGGTATTTCAGGTTTCATTGGTTATGCCCCAGAGCTGTATAAAGTAGTGGCATCATCAGTAGTCGCCAATGAAGATGATGATCAGCTGTTCTATACCAAAGTGTACCTAAACGAGGAACTGAGGAACAAATTCCGCATCAAACTTGATCACAGAGCAGACATATTCCAGAATCTTAATGGTGCTGTTGGTAAGCCATGTTCCTTCTTGATATGTGAAGTTCATCTTACAAATTTTAAAAAAGTTATCGTCTGCTAAATATCAAGAGATGAGATCTGGGCATAGATGGGAATCATAGAATATTATTTGTTGTCTCAGCATGTCCTTGGGGTAGCTGCAAATGTGTTAAATAACAAGACAAAAGGTGAAATCTGTGTGAAATACATACGTTCTTTGTACTTTGCTTACTGAGTGTTCCTAGTTAATGTAAAAATTACACCGTAACATACATACAGTGCACGAGCATGCATGTCGTGGTGATGGTTGTCTTCTGGGTTTAGCACGTTGTAGTCTGGTTGAAGTTTATCAACATATCAGAAATCCTTGCAGCCTCCATCAACAAGCCGATGATGGAGGCAGCGAGGATTTCTGAAACATCGGTAATTTTGTACCTGATGACATGGTGCTACAACCCAGAAGATAGCTAGCTGTCTTTGCACTCACCACCATGTGAACGTCAAATCCAACGTTAAGTTTTCGCGGGCAGTCAGTCGTGTGAGGCGACCGTAAAAGAATAGTGTTTTGAGAGCTGTCTTGGTTCTCATCATCAGGGATCTGGTCAGATCATCATCATTGTCCTTATGAGATCCACGATGATGAGTACCAGGATGGCTCTCGAAACACTGTTTTTTTACAACCATCCGATGTGGTTGATTGCGAATGAAGACTTTGTTGAATTACGTCACCATGTAATCTGAAGATCATATATGCATGCCATGAAGTTACCTCGCTGTGTCCAGTGTATATACATGACGGCATGACAGCGCAGTCATGTGTGACAAATTTTACTTAATACCTGTGAAGCATCAGATGTTTAATACTGTTGTAGGATGCGTGTTTGAAGTGAAATGTGCTTATTTTTGTCTTTGTAGCGGACATTGAACTGAAATTTAAGGGGCATGAAGCATATTTGCAGAACACCGTGTACAATACAGTTCCATTGGTGGTCCATGGGAATGGGCTGAGCAAACCGGTGCTCAACACGCTTGGCAACTATTTGGCCAGCAGTTGGAACTCGGAAGATGGCTGCCTCAGTTGCTGGGATGACTCGATTATTCTGGAGGACAAAGACGTAAGTGTGTGGTTACATATTTTCCGTGCACTTGTGAAGTGGATTGTTTCGAATGAATGAATGGGAAAAGTGGGGTGAGTGCCTGACTCACCCTTGCACCGTGACCGCCATTTCCTCAATATCTGCATCTCTGTACTCTTTGATATGCTAGTAGTCCCTTACAGTAGGTGATTTTAGAACGTTGTCATGTAACCTAAGCGTCAGTCAGTGATTCATTTGGAGAAAACTGAGAACAAACACATTCCTTTGGCAAGAAGATTCCAAGAAAAATAAAGTGAGGTTAAAGAAGTCCAAAATCAAGGAAACTGTTTGTCTCCAGAATTGCTTATTAAGGACAAAAGCAAAAGCGAAAGCCAACAAAAGAAATTTTGAAAATATTTCAGAAGCTGTAAAGAAACTTCCGTTATACTGACTTGCCAGAAAATGTTGTCTTTCACAAGATCAAGATAAGTTGATATGAATATTTCGATCCTGCCATGAATTGCTGAGGTGTGAGAGATGAAATTTCTGTCCTAAAATGTTAATTTATTGTTTGTTGCAGCCAAAGAGCTACCCAACTGTACTGGTAGCAGTGTTCATTGAGCAGCAAACACCATTCTTAGAAGAGTTCCTTGAGAAGCTCCACAACATTGAATATCCTAAAGAGAAACTGCACCTCTTTGTGCATAATTCAGTAAGTGGTGCTTGTTTTTTCAGTAATAAAACAGTTGGCTCGGTCCTCGCTTAGGGGCTTTATCTCTGATCGGTCATTTGGCTTTTGGTATGAAGGTGGGAATTGAACAGTGTATGTGGTGATTATGGTGAAACTTTTTGTCAGGTATCTTTATGAATTAGGGAATAATTAATTTAATAGATGGCACCATATAGCTTGCCCCTGTGTCAGCATTTTGTGTACAACCAGATGCTTGAATGCTCTTCCAGGCAGACTACCACTCAAAGCACCTAGAAGGTTTTCTGTCATCGTACGGTGAAGAGTTTCGCACTGTGAAGAGGATTGATCCAAGTGACAGTCTGAAAGAGTTTGAGGCCCGCAACCTGGCTGTGTGAGTTTTGTTCGGTTCGCAGTTGATAAGTATTCGACTGAAGGTTCGGCTCTGTCCTGAACCTTTCAGATCTTGTCTTCATCCTCACAACTTACAATTTCATGGGGCTTGACTTCCTGGTCTTATACCTTGCCTTCTGAGTTATATCTGTTTACACGTCCTGTTTTGCTGCTGTCTGTAACAAAGCTTCATGATCCTATGGGGTGACTACAGCTCCAACTTTGGGAAATGCTGACCAAGGATTATTATTTAACCGCAAAGAACATTGTATACCATCAAGAAGTTCGTCATTTCCCATGTGCTTTTTTTTTTTTAGCGCTGTGTAGATACCGTCCTTTGACTGAAACCCAAGTAATGTGCAGCGTAATAATATGCCTCACTGCTGCTTATATGCACCAGACTAAGCTACCCTTCTAGAGAGACGATGCTGTGCAGAATCTGATCCGGTATTGTTGTTGCAGCAACTACTGTTTGACGGTGAATTGCGACTACTACTTTAACTTGGACAGCGATGCCCATTTGGATAACCCGCACACCCTCCGCCTTCTTGTCGAGCAGAACAGGTATGTATATTTTTTCTCTAAATGTGTTTGCTAACAGTGATGTATTTTAATTTGTTTGTTTTGGACTTTATTCTTCTTTAAATCCATCCACAGATAAAGTATAACTCAGCCTACCATATACAATAGAAACCCCCTCTCGCACCTTAAGATAAAGGAAGAGCCATCTTTTGAAATGTGACGACCGACGGCGGTTACGTCAAAAGATGATTTAGGCATGTGTGTTTATCCCTTCAGGGTCTGTCTCCATGTGTGATGTAGACCTCAGTTTTGTCGCATGACACCAGTCTGTATGTGTGTATGATCTGAAGCTTTCACAGTGACAAACATTAATACAGTTTTCGTAGGCTATAAGCAATGTCGCTTGGTTAAAAATTAACTACTTTTCAGGGACCATCTCTCCTCATTATCAGGGCTGTGATGTAATTGTGTGTCCAGACAGCCTTGTTGAAACAATTAATGAGGTTGTTTTTAGACCTTAGTGCCAAATATAAGGAGTAGATAGTTCTAAAAATAATTATTCTGAATCAGTGTGCTTTAAAATTGAATGGCAGATCTGGCACAACCTGCTGCAGTGACAATGTAACGGTTACTACAACGCAGGTTACTTGTGTAGGGGTGTTGTGGCACCACTGCTGTTGAGACCATATAAGGCGTGGTCCAACTTCTGGGGAGCATTGACAGCTGACGGCTTCTATGCCAGATCCATGGACTACATGGAAATCATACACAATGACCGCCGGTGAGTTCTTGGTTAAACATCATTAATAAATATTATCATATGCTCCCTAATGTATGGAAACCCATCAACAATTTTGATGAGGAAATTTCTTATTTAAGTGTCTGGTCGCTGGTTATGAGAGAATAGTGTGGGTTTAGGAAATTGAATGTGGGTGGACAGAATTTAACTCGTTCAGCGACTGGTTTTCTTTACAAATTCATATTTCTTCCATCTTCAGCAACAGATGAGCCAAAAATTCATTACTCTTGTATAAGGTTTGCAATGTTTTTAAATTAAAATTTATCTGATGCAAAGATGCACTGTGGCCATTTGCTGTTACAGTTGGATGTGTTGAACTTCCTTGTCAACAGTAGGCATATATATTGGAACAATTTGCCTTACTTGGCAATTTGTCAATAATTAATTTTGAATCGTAAAGCTGTTGAATGCTCTGGGTTTGCATGAATTTAGAAGAGTACGTGGCGTCGCTGTGTGCCATCTGATGGGGGAAATCATCATCCTGTTGTACATTTCATATTGTTTGTGTAGTCTCAGAGGGGGAGGGGGGTCTTCAGACTATTATGTTGGGTGGGGCAGAGAAAAATTTCAGTCAAAGGCAATACTGAAATCTGTCTTGAAACTGCGTCGATCAACAGAATACATGTTGTCTGCAGAACACTCATATAACCCTGCATCCATCTGCGTAGCTGGGTCGATCTCAAGCTTTGACTTCACTTTGTCTGTCCCCATCTTCCATTCATGAACCTGCAAGCCAAGATATTCTTTACAGCAGTATGCTGGTGTGCAGAAAACAATTTACTGGGATGGTGCGGGGCCAGGAAGCTTGAGGTGGACATGCCACTTATATAATCTAGAAGAAATTGGAATTGATATTAAAGTGGATCTAATAGTGTGAGGATGTGATCTGGTTTGAATTGGCTCGGGTAAATTCCATTCTTGGGATTTTCTGGCAACAGCAGTAAAGCATTCAGTTCCACAGCCAAAGAGAATTTTATGACGATCTTAATATAAACTGCTGAAGCATGGTCCCGTTTAAACAGCTGCAGAGGTTATGTGGATGGAACTGAATAATGAGATAGAACGGATACAGGCGGAAGACGCTGTGACTGAGGAAAACCATGATAAATTTATTTAGCTCATCCCACGTATGATTCAAATCAGTATCTTATGAAAACAAACAGGAAGTCAGAGTTTTTAAGTTTTGACATTGTCTGGTAGAAGGTAAATTGGGATCATAATGTATGTTGTTATTTACTCTTATGTACTCATTTTTCTCATCGAACATAGTAAGTCATGAGTGTCAACAAGTACAAGATGGCAAGATGGAATGCCGAACATAGTAAGTGATGAATGTTAACAAGTACAAGATGGCAAGATGGAATGAACTTTGTACTCACATGTAGGTAAGAATGTGCATATAGCTCAATGCCATCTTTGAACCAGGTGATCTGAGGTTGGGGTGTGCCTTTAGCCACGCAGACGAACACTATCTTGTGGCCCAACATGTACTCGTAGTCAAAGTGAGATGCCAGCAGGATCTTAGCTCCCTGCAAGCAGAAATTGTCTCTGCTTGCTTAAGTCTTCTCTCCCCCAGATCTTAGTATATTAGTGGTTTCCTAAAGGTCAAGATTTTGGTAATAGTTTATGTTGGGGTCTGATAACCCATGCACTGTCAGAACATGGATCTCTGTGCCTTGGTACAGTGCATTTTCTTTTTATTATAATGCAACTGCTTGTCAGTCAGATGCAGAAATTACTGACAACATCTGTGTTATGGCACGTTTGTCGATCCTGACATCTTTTCCTACATATTAAACTGTTAGTTTGGACCCATCATCAGTGGATAATGCTAATTTTCATCTGAAAATTGTGATGTTCGGCCGGAATTATTGTATCTGTTTATTGTGGTGTATTGCGTAGTGCAGAATCTGTTGCTTTTGATTGTCAATTTTTTGTCATAACCTGTCAGAGACACCATATTGAGGTTGTAAAATGACTGAAAGTGTTAGTTATTATCTGGTAAATGCTTACTAGGAAATGTAAGATGTTTACCATGAATAGATTAGAACAGATCTTGGACCAACGTACAGGTTGACAAGTGTTTTGGCAGACAGTAAACTAGAGTAAATCCACTTGAGAGTTTGCTGCAAGGATACACATTTGTTGGTTCCTTGAGCAGACACTCGGTTGAAGAGTGACATTAAATTTTCAGTCCTGCCAATTTAACAAAAGTTTTAACTTGTATGTTGACCAAATCCAAAGTTGTCAGTGCAGAACTTATTCAACTTAATGGAATAAATATTTAAATGTTGATATGTGCAACGTTGCTGTTGACTGCAATGTTAAAAATATGTGTCCGTAACTTTTACCCATAACTGACTGACTTGACCGACCCCATAAATGCGATTTGTGTGAGTCGTGATATTCTGGCGTGTCTGGTACTCACATCACTGTTGTTGTAATACTGGTCAGACTCTGGGTCGCGATACTTTCCGGTTATGGGCAGACCAATCTGCACCCTGCTCTTCGTCCTGCTGCGAGATCGGCCCCTGCGTCCGTGGGCTCCAGGGCCGAGCAGCAGTAGCACTAGCAGCAACCCTGTCACATTCGTCACTCTCATTGTAGATTTAGCCCTCACAGCTCCCCTGGAAGAAAATTGAGCATTATCCTTGATTATCTGGAATCATGCATAATGTAATCAAAAATGATCCTATTTGCAACATACTAGTCAGTGAAGATTTGTATTCGGTTTATGAGAAATGGTATTTAAAGGTGACAATACGTATACAGGTAACCTGAATAATTTTTGTTGACAGTTGGGTGTGTGCGGTACTTGGGAGTAAACGTTTCTATCTTCCATAACAACTAAGTACACATTCGTTCCTCATGGTATTGGGGTAAAATGCTGTTTTTGTGTGCCCAAGAGACCAGCGTCTTCCCTGTCTGTTACCTCAGTCATAATCAAAACTGTGTCTGTGTCCACATTGCTGTAAGTCTCTTGTTCTGTCATGTTAAATGCAATAGCACTCTATAAACATTCCACCCTTGGAGGTGTCAGGAGAGCAGAGACAAAAATGGTCCGTGACCATACCTGGGACTGTCATGGTGCAATGCTTATAACTTAGGGTTCCTATTTAGGAGGTACATGGTTTAATTCTGCTCCTGATATGAGGTGTTATGACGAGTATTATAGTTTGCCTACTAGAAAATTCTGACACTTTCTTAACATAGATCATGTTTGCTTCCTTCCCCATTCTTTCCATCTTCATGGTTGAGTGTCTTTAACCCTGAAAATGCAAGTGATATGTTCTTTTGAAACATTGGTAAAAGTAAAGTAAAGTTTGTCCCACTATACGCCATGTAGGCGTTTGGGGTGAGTGGAGGTAATGCTCCTCTCTTCCTTGACCCCGGCACTAGATGGGGGTGAGTGGTCAGCATCACGCCCCGGCCGGCTTTACCCCCGGGAAAGGACCCCGGTACCCATTGTAGAGGAGGCTGGGTGGGCCCCAGAGCCGGTCTGGACGCAGAGGCTAGAGGAAAAATCCTCTGCCCCCGTCGGAGATCAAACCCCGGTCGTCCAGCCCGTAGCTAGTCACTATACTGACTGAGCTATCCCGGCTCATTTTGAAACATTGGTAGTCACTTGTAATAGTGTATGGTTTCATGAAGCAGAAGATCATAATTGATAAACCAAGAATTATTGAGCAAGAGCTTGATGCATTAGAATCAGACGTACAGAATTCTGATATGTTGTTGGTTCACTCATAAGAGGATAGAACACTTTATTCCAGTGCCTCAATTTTGTCACATGCAAATCATTTTGTGTGATGGTTCCCGCTTTTCACGTCAACATTTAAAAATCACAAAATCTCCGCTCATTACTTACACTTAATGGCTGGCCCATATAAGTCTCCGATGTAGGTCTCCTCCTGTATGTTGCCGCTGCTCTGTCCGGTGGCTGCAATACCACTTAATATGTATGAGGGTTACCGCTCTCCCATCGTTGGCTTAATGAAGTCCTTCCTCTTCGGCAGGGAATCAGCTAAATGGATCCATCTGACCATGCGTCTCTCTATCACTGTGATCAGGTTTGGCAGTTAATGGAGGAGTGGGGTGCTTGTCTTGTAGCGCTAAGTGGGAGATTGGTTGTAAATTATAAATTGGGAGAGATTTGAAAGGAAGTGGTTGTGGGATATTTTAAGAAGGAAAACTGTAGAAAAACTTAATCATGATAGCCAGCCCCCAATCAGAGAGTTGAGCTCAGTACCTCCAAAATACGAAGCAGTTGCGACATTCATTCCAAAGCATTTTTCAGTTGAGAAGCCTTAAATCATGAGATTTCTTGAGAGACCATTATATAGATAAGATGATATTAAAATTAATATTTGAGAAGTAGGAATGGAATTCATTAGCTGTTGTGAACACAGGGAAGACACCAACTGGAAGGCCTTGGCATAAATGGGAAATTAATATTGAAATTGATTGTATTGAAATAGGTTTTGGAGGGGATGATGCAGATTGGATTAATCTGGTCCAGGATAGGGGCCAGTGGTGGACTCTTGCAAACACAGTAATGCAGCTTCAAGTTTCATAAAATTTGGGGAATTTCCTGACCAACTGAGCTACTATTAGATTCACAAGAAGGACTCTCAACAAAGTTATTTAGCTAAACCTGTGTCATATTTTAGGATGTAAGATTTACATTTTTAAGATGGCCATCTTAGTTTAATACATTCTAAAATATTCATCTGTCATTTTCTATTAGAATACTTATGCTTGGCTGCGTTTCCCTTTTACTGTTACGTCACTTATCTTAGGTCCAAATATTCTCTTAGCTTGTTCTTCTGTCCATTTTTTTTCATAAGAAACAAAGCAGAAATAAAAGCAAATAAAATTCTAACATTTCTGCCATAATGCCATTTAACTGCTTTTTAATTTTTGTTCATGGATTGAAACAACAATCTTTTTAGTTCTATTACACAATTACATATCTAGAATAGTTAACAACCATGACTCATCCATATCCAGTTGGCAAAGCACTCACTCCTTGCTGTCTGAGAAATGAGCGAATTACATAGCATCTAGGAGCTCAGTACTTGCGTTAGCTTCAAAATGCTGATTCACCAAATAGTTTATCTGCATGCAGAATAAAAGTCTAGCATGTTGTACACTTACATAGCTTTGTCTGGGAGTGCCTAGCATGCTATACACTTACATAGCTTTGTCTGGGAGTGACGTGAACATCAAGCTGCCAATGGAAGGGGCACGGATCTTAGGGAAATAAGATTTTTAAGATGTGAAGTGGAATAAAAAATAGGTCACTGTTAGAGGAATTAAAAAATTTTATTCGGAAACCTCATGGAAAGAGGTTGCATACAAGACCACCAGAAGGCAGGAGGGTAATAATGAAATGAGTTGTAAGGATACAAAATGCAATGAACCTTATTGCAATAGTATCAGGTAGGCTTTTGTGATGATGGCGATGAACTTCAGCTCGGTATCCACCTGTTATTATGGAACTTCTCAGTTTTCGTATTTAAAGCAGTTGCAGTTGGCACAACTGTTTCATTTTCTGGAGGTGGTCCTTTACGAATCACGGTTCCAACTCATTCCAATGTGAAATGAATTGTCATACTTTGTAGAATTGTATTTCTTCACAAAGCTATCAGGAAAATATTTGTGGATCTTCTGATAGCATGGTGAAAGTGTTATATCTACTGTGTTTGCTTTCTTTGATTGTTTATTTATCACTTGCACAATTTACATTTTGTACATAGAAGTGCTCAAATGTGGAAGTAGAGTAAAAGATGGGCTGAGAGGAATGGATAAAATTTTGTACGTACATGGAAATTTAAAAAAAATGTGGCAGAGGTAAAATACTTGGGAGTGACAGTAACAAATTTGGATTTCATTTATGAAGAAATGAGGAGCTGATTAACCTTTGTTGTCTGTGTGTCAGCTTATGCGTGTTCCAGCTGGTCACGCATCACACTACCATACTGCTAAACTGTTAACCCTGGTGCTAAAGGGTGGCCAGCAGCCCCATAGTACAGGGGGTCTGTATTCCTTTACAGTATAGTTTAAGTCTGAAAAATGCTTGCTAGTATTGAGTTCAGAATGTTTTATTTTCCAATCTTCAGTTCAAAAACACAAGGATCAAAGCATACAAAATTAATATTACTTTTATATATGTATAAATCTGAAAATTAGTCCCTGGCCCAAGGAAAATAGAGCCCTGAGGAGAGCATTTAGAGTAAGAGAAATTAAGTAACAGCAGAATGAAGACAATTACATGAGAGATTTCATAATTTGTTTGCTTCATCAATTGTTATTATATGGTCAAATCAAGGAGGAAGAGATTGGTAAGGCTTGTAACATATGGATGAGAGATGAGAAAGGCACAGCAAATTTTGAATTGAGGAGGATGTGAAGGAAATAGACTGCTTGAAAGACTATAGACGTACATGATAAGCTATCAAGACGGGCATTAAGGAAATTGTGTATGGGAGGCGTGGACTGAATTCATCTGGCTGAGAATAGCGAGAAGCTTCTCTGAACACTGTAATGATTATTCATCTTCCATGAAAGGCAGGAAATTTCCTAAGCTGAGAAACTGTTAGCTTTTCAGGAAAAATTTATATATAAAGTTAGTTTTGTACATGGAAGGTGGAAAATGTTAAAAAAATAATATTTAAGATAGGAAGTGAAGGAACAGTATGAGATGAAAATAGAAGCAGAAGAGTGAAGCAAAACTTTAATAAATTTAGCACATAAGATGCATTATTGGAGACGAAAGATGAAAATTCTTCAATAAGTATAGATGACGTAGTCTGTGCGGAAACCCCTGCGGTCTATAGCATACTGGTTGTCTGCCTGACACTCATAGTATCCTGCATCTTTCTGTGTCGTTGGATCGATCTCCATCTTGGACTTCATCGTGTCATTCCCCATTGGCCACTCGTGCACCTAGCGGAACAGTTCACATTATTTATGTATGTTTCTTTATTGTGAGTGAAGATCTTTCTTGTGATTGTATATTCTTATAATAACTTGTAATTTCTATTGCGAGATATTTTGTTCTGACAACACACCGTGGTTCCTAAGAGACGGTTAAGTGATAAACCTTGTTCGGTAAATAAATTAATAGCATGAATAACTGGCAACACATGTAGACTTAAGTAGGCTGGTGTTGACATAAGTGTATAGTAAATATACCTTGCCATGAACATAACAGATGTATATGCAGATTGAACCTAAATTTTGCTAGGTTAGAAAATAAGTCACTCTAGGATCACATTTGAAATGATAGTGACATTGCTTGCCTGGAAGAACTTGTGAGCATACAGCTCAATGCCATCTTTAAACCATGTAATGTGTGGACGGGGGAGTCCCGTCGCCATGCAGAAGAATGTTATTTTGCGGCCAAGCATGTAGTCAAGCTCAAAGTGTGAAGACTTGACGATCTTGGCCCCCTGTGAAACACAACACAACTATTTTATTTTCCCATCACTATATGATATTATTTAACAGATATCAAGGTACTGGTTGGTTGTTCAATTACGACATCAACATTACATCAGCGTAGCAAGAATGTGCAAGAAAATGAACATAACATAAAACCATAAGCAAACAAAATCATATAATTTTATGTGTGAGGATGTTTCAGATTCTAGTTGTTAAGTAAGAACTGTAGCAGATAGAAATTGTGCTCGTGATGAAGTTAGCAAGAGAAACCATTTCTGGAAATTCTTTTTAATATTAAATCAGAAGCTGTTACCATTCTAGCCACTTTTCAAAATTCTGAAGACTGTTATTTCCAAAATAGTAACTTTACCATTTCTCACCCAAGTCTCTTCTGATTGAGTAGAAATTGTGCAGAAGCAGTAGGCTTGTCACTCATTACTCATAAATGCACACCTCAAATAGACAAAGAAACCTCCCACATGGGAGGAGGCCAAGGCTCGACTTTGGGCTGTTGCACCATAGACGAGGAAAAAGAAGATGATCGGTGCATGTTTTGACCTGTTTTGGTCATGTACAGATGGTAAATACTTGTAAGAAACTTGTTATTGAAATCTGGCAGTATATTGTGAACTGTCTTATTGATATGGGTCCCTTCTAAACTGGTTTAACAATATGCATTATACAATTCAGGATTGTACATACATATATATCACTAATAATGAATTTTATAAAAGAAAACTGAATATTATGTGATAAGATTATATATGTAACACAGCTTTAGCTTGAGTAATCTTTCAATATCTGGTTTAGTTTCTCTTGTGATTCACTTTCATCCCTCAGAGTGCCCTAGTTCTCACATTAACATTCTTCTTCACACTGAATTATAACGCTTTCTGTGTGGTGAAATATGTGTATGTCGATGATACGACTTTTTATTATTTGCAGCGTAGTGTCTGTTGCTAATTAGCTTTGAGGAGTAGTTTTGTATTTGCACTAAGTGAATGTCTTGGCTTGATTTATTTTTCTCTTGTTTAAAGTGTGTACTCACATCCTTGTGGTCATAGTAGCTGGCGCTTGCAGGGTTACGGTGCTGGATTAAGACGGGCATCCTGGAACCATACCCCTTCCGACCTCCACCACGGCCCTTGCCCCCTCCGCCTCCACGGGCTGCACTGGCCATGTCCACATAGAGGACGCAGCCTATCAGCAGTCCCAGCATCAGCATCTGTCCCATCTTGTCACTGCTGCTTACTGTAACCTGGAGTGTCAGTGTCCGACCCCCTTTGGCTTTTGTTCTTGGGGGCAAACAAGTGACGACATCTCTTATTGTTATGAAGTTAGTCAATTGGATGATTGCTGTCAGTTCCCTAATCGTCAGTTCATGGGTGGAGTATGGCTCAGTGTTTGTGACATCGCTGGATATCGAGGCAAAGTAGTTTATTAGCATAATATAATTGATGCGAAATTCACCCAGTTTATATCCTTGCTGAGACCTGATATTTCTCATGATTTTTCTCTCTACCTCCAGCTGAATGCAGGCCATATTTGGTTACTTTCTTCTCCCTCCCACTTAACCAATTATTATTATAATAATCTTATTTAATTCTGCTGTATACGTACAGAACTGAAATTACAAATTTCTAAAGTCCTGTAAGATCAGTTGCTTGGTTACTGTTTCCATGTTTAACTTTATTGCCATTCAAAATGAATCTTTGAATTGTTTCATAATACTGGTATGTTCATTTCTTTTGATTTATATATGTATTTCTTTACTTATTTATTCATTCTTGCCTTTGTTTTTAGTGGTGCATTATGACATTTGTTGAAAATGCTAGAAACAGAACTCACGACATCAGCGGATTGTTTTACACATGTTTCTGTTTCATTGTTTTGTTGATTACTAATCTGCACTTCAGATCATGAGAAGCTGTGCAGAGTGGCATTGCAAAATCCTCTGATATCCCATCTTAGAATTTGATACCTAACTGGAAGATATATCATTTATGTCACCAGGTGACTTCACTAGTGGGTCTCTTTGGTGCCTCATATCAAGCAATTTGCTTTGAATAATAAGCACTTCATTTGCATACAAGAAGCAGACAAATTGTGTTCTTTAAAATGGTGGCCTATTTGGGCTGTGATTATTTTGAACTGGATTTAACATGACCCACTAATGGGCTTTTGTGAACTCAGTGATGAACGTTCACGTTCCTAATAAGAGTAAATTTAACGATGAGCCAAACAGGTGCTTACTGCTCAAGGAGGACCCTGTGCTCTAGAGTTAGGTGGTACAGCAAAGCATTTTTTTTGTGTGAGGTGAAACTTGGGCCACTGCTGCTCACACATGCTGAATGAAATGACTGATAGCTGGACCCCCCCTAGTGTCAGGATGTCAGATTATTTTGCTTTCATTTTATTGAGTGGAAAATTGGCATCAATCAGCAGACCCCCAGTGGAACTGTGTCTTGCAGGGGACCAGCTATTCCATCTGAGACTTTACAGGTTTTCTTCAGTTCCTCTAGGATGGCAGTTTCTTGTGCTATTTTAACAAAACTGAAATCCAGCCAAAACAGAGTTTTATGAATTGGCACAAAAGTGCATGATAGTTCTTCTCATCCTGTTACATGATGCTGACCACATGTTGGGTGTATGGAACGGCTCATTTTGATGGTTGTCATTTGGAGAAGTTGCATTACATGGTACAATACCCATTAAAAATGTGTATTAGTACATGCACATAGAGACTTTTTTCGTTCCAGAGATCCAAAAGTTGCCAAGTTCAGACCAAGTTGGCAGACAATGTTAGCTGCAGTTTTCTTTGTAATCCCTTTCGTTATTTCCCATCATTTTTACGCAAAAGTTTGCTTTCTTGTTTTTAACATTTTTACGGTTATATTTTCCTGCATATTATGTATGTTAAGGTTATTATTTTTATTCTTATGACTGTGAGAATTTTCTGTGTTTGATGTTTAACATCTTTGTGTCCTTCTTTTTTATCTCCTCGTCCATCCAGAAAAGTATTTGTTTGTTTCCAAGGTAACCTGTACCATCCATTGGTGAAAAGTCACATTATTTCCTTTCTATGAACATTGTCAAACACCATACGTTCTGCAAGTACTTTATTTTTAGTGTTCGTGGGTCTAAAATGATTTCTATTTGCTATTTCCATACCATTTTCACAAAACTGATGTTCCTTAGCATTTTGAATTCATCACTTTTGGTGTTCACTTTGAAACATTATACCGTCTTCAGAAATGTTGTGTATTAAACAAGTTATACATTTCATATTTATTTTTCTTGTTTTAATGTTAGTAATATAACTGAATAGTGATGCCTTAGTACTGATTTGTTGTTCGTTCAATATTTAGTTTTTCTCACCATTCGGAATAAATATTAAGAATGAACCCTTGTATGTGAACTTAATGATTGTTTATAAAAGCGAAGAGTTCACCGTTGTCAGTTTATTTCCATGAAGAGCTTTATGTCCATCATTTATAATTCTACTGAATGCATATGTTAAGTGTACACTTTGTACTATTAAAATCTTGTTGCTGTATCTGCCTTGGTAGTTTCCACGAGTTCTTTATTTTCAGTGGTGTGTGGAACGTGCCGTACGTGAGTGCTTGCTACCTGATTAATGGCACACTCATCAGACAGCCTGAGACAAAGCCGTCATACTCATACTACCAGTTGGATGCTGACATGGCTTTCTGCTCCAACATGAGGTCTAAGGTCAGTAATTTTGTGTGTCGTTACAGAATGTTGAAAAGCCGGCAAGTGTAAGTCATTGAAATTATTTCAAGGGAACAGAGGATTTTATTAATTTATCCATATTAAATTAACATTGCACGTAAGTACAAACAGTGATTTTTAAAAAAATATTTCATAATAACTTTATCTTTATTTTTATAAAGTACTTTAGAAATATAAAATTCATTACACTCCGCACACGCAAAAATAGTGTTTCTGACTTAGACTCATTGGCTTCTGAGCTATTTTATTTGAACTTGAGAATACTACATAATGAAGGCCTCCATAATTTGTACTCTTCGGCTGATATTAGCAAGGCAAATCAAGAGTAATGGGGGGGAACTGGTCAGGTGACACACATACCAGGAAGGAAGAAATGTGTATTAAATTTTGGTCACAAATATTTTATGAGAAAGATAAAACTTCAGAGAGGATAATATTAAGACATATTTTAACAACAAAGCTTGTAGACTAGATCAGTATTTTTCTGACTTTTTTCCAGACTACTTGAAAATTTCTGATTGTCTTGGTGAACTTATTAATAACTTTTTTTGCGTGTTATTTAACAGTTAATATGCAATATGCTTTAGACGTTAAAGATGGAAATAAAGAAGTTGGTACTGTACTTACTTAACTTATTCTACAAGTGTCTTGATGGTTCTATTCTACTTCTAATGCACTTTTATTAATCTTCTTCGTTACGCCTTGTTATCCCAGTTGATTTTCATTCATGTTATCTGTGGATTACAGAACATTGGTGGTCCACAGACCACACTTTGAGAGCCTCTTGACTAGATTAAGCTTCCTTAAGACAAGGTCCAGTGGTGGGTGTTGTAATAATGGTGATGAATTCATTGTTCTGTGATAAGTGAATTTCTTGCTCACTTGAATAACTGTCAGGTTCCAAAGGAGGACATTGGATGATAGTTTCTCGCGTGCTACATGTTGCAGGATGTCTTTATGTATGTGAGCAATCGTGTGGACTTTGGTCACCTAGTAAATGCAGACAACTTTGACACAAGTCGCATATACAGCGAGATCTACCAGATCTTTGATAATCGGTGGGACTGGGAACAACGATACATACATGAGAATTACACCGAGAACTTTAACCCAAATAACACCATTGCACAGGTGAGTTCTTGTTGTTTGAGGTTTTTAAGTGCAGTTAATAAGGCTTTATTAATTAATCAAAGAACAGTGTACAGAACATAAGACTCGGGGGACTTCTAATCTTGTGAACCACAGCAGTTGTCTATATTATTGTGTTGACAGCCTTGTCCAGATGTGTACTGGTTTCCTTTGGTGAATCCTCGCTTCTGCAAGGAATTCATTGAAATCATGGAGACTTATGGTCAGTGGTCTGATGGCACCAACAAGGTGAGCTAGCAGTGGGAATGATATTAATATAAAGATGAGCATTTTTGTCAGCAGCCTCTCTGGTTTTCATCTCGTGTAATAAGATTTTTTATTGAGGGTGTTGGAGAACAAGGCGCTGAGCAGAATATTTGGACTTGAGAGAGAGAAGATATCACATTAAGGAGCTTCATAATTTGTAGCCTTCACCTGATACTGTTTTGATGAATAAGTCAAGAAGGGTAAAGGGGGAGGGACATATAGCGTGCATATGGGAAATTAGAAAAACACAAAATTTGGTTGGAAACCCATAGTAAGGAGCTCACATGGAAGACCTAGGCATGCATGGAGGGTAATATTAGAATGTATGTTAGGGAAATATGGCATGGAAACAGAATTTCTGTATTATATGAGTAACTGTTAGGCTCCTACCATAGAATGGGTTTGTTATATGGTATAATTTAGTTTCGGTTAATTGATTACAACGAGATAGCTAGTGCTACTTGGCTGTTTTCTTCTAGAAGTAATGGGATACATCTGTAGAGTCAACATGTGTCGATTTAAGAAGGCATGCTAACATACTGTACTGTAACATTTCATCCAAGACAAGTGCTTTGTGCCTTATTATGAGGACTTTGAAAACCTGAACTGTAGCACGTGCCAGCCAATGTTCACAGGATCCACGGCTGGATGGGGGCTATGAGAATGTGCCGACACGTGACATACACATGAAGCAGATTGGATTGGAGGCTCACTGGCTGGAAGTGTTACGTCTGTATGTACGCCCACTGCAGGAGCTCGTGTTCATCGGTTACTTCCACGACGTATGTGTCCGCCCATCAGGGAACTCTCTCTTGTCCCACAAACATAATATCAAACTCCACTCTGTGTCTATCCTGACTGGGCTATTTTATGATATTGAGAGTTTGCAACACGGCCATTGAGGGATGTGAAATATCGAAGAATGAAGTAAAATTTGTGTTTTATAAATTAAAGTATAACTGTTCACTCTTTTTCTCTGAATTCCGTGGATTTCCCCTAGCTACTGATCTTGCCACTGATTTTTCAAACATGTCTCTTGCCTTGACTGAGAAATGTGACTGGTTTATCTGCAGTTACAACTTCACTTATGACAAGGCATTTGTCTACACTTACTAAGGAAGTTTAGTTTTGCAAAGAAGGATACTTGTACTGGAGTTGACTAATTATGTTGTGGGCACAAGGCAGATGTTTCTGAGGGTCTCCTTAAGTTTTAGACTAATTTGTGGGGCTTGCCTGCTAGGATGATCGTATCCAGGGGGGCTATGAAGCAGTGCCGACACGTGACATCCACATGAAACAAGTGGGATTGAAGGAGCAGTGGGACTACTTTCTGGAGGAGTTTGTGGGACCATTACAACAGAGAGTGTTTATTGGTTATGTCAGCGTAAGACACAATTTTGATGAACAATTGGTGATGGGAGGGTGGGGCACTGTACATGTGCTTTGTGCCAGCATGTGTTGTTTGTTTATTAAATCTTATATGGGTATTTGCTGCACCTAGTCTTTAGTGTAGTTCAGAGGGTTAAAGATTGTATGGGCACTGTCTTTGAACATTAGCTGTTGTGTCTGGCTTTCTAGAGACTGGCTGTCTAGGTAGAATAAGGTTGTGGGCCTGTCACTTTTATTAGTCACTTGATGTAAATATAAGATCAATTGGGTTAAGTGAGTAGAGGGTGTCATATAATGAGGAACTTCGTGGCTTATAAATTGTTTTGCTGATGACGTGAAGAGTGACTGTTGTATGAAATTCATGAGAATGACTGAAGAAGGTAGAACATCTGTTATTGCTTCCTAAAAATGTACCTGATTTGTTCTCTTCTTGCTTGACATGTTGATTAATATTTGTGTTCTGTTACATCATATTTAAATGGCATTACATCCTGTACAGTTAAAATGTGAAACTCATTCAAAAATACTCTCTTCAAGGACAGTGTTTTTGTGTTGTTTTGGAACTCGTAAAAGATGAACGATGATATTAAAAGATCTAAATTTATTTACTATAAGGGACGAAATAAATTTATAGAAAGGCAGGTGCATAGAACATCTAGGCAGAATGCCATATAAGAAATTGTCAAAGACCTCCTTGATTTTCTGTCCATGACGAAGAAGAGATACTGGCAGACGTTACTATGGAGAACTGCGGTACCCTCAGGACCAGTTGTCTGTATGAAGAGCTGATGGACCAGGGACTTGGGGCTTGTGTCACTCAATGTTCAGTTACACAATTTAATAGTTTAGTTTGCTTATTTATGTAGCTACATGCTTTGGTTATAGAGAATTAAATGGCATGATGGTTGCAAATCATGGATTTAAAAAGAAAATGATAATGGCCTGTCCTATCCATGGGCAGAGAAATAAAGCTGGGCACTCGTGAATATGAAGCAGGAGGTAACAGCAGCTACTGTAATCCATTCTCCTTTGTATATACAGAGTTATGCCTCTTAGTAGATTATAAGTATTTTGTGCTATGCTGTAAGTGTGTTTGAGAGATGCAGTAAATTGCATGGTTTTCAATTTTGAATGTACATAAATAAGGACATGTATTTACTGTAAACGTTTTATTGATCTTTTGAATAATGTCATATTTATTCATAATCATCATCATGTAATAACAACCATCTGTGGTACAGTATTTGTTATACATGATGTTTTGACAATTAATTTTATTCCCATCTTCAGTTGATTGGTTGTCATTATACTGACATCTAAAATGACATTTCTCTGTTATACATACATGAGCTGTGTGGATGTGTAGCAGTGGGCTGCATAAAGAATGTCTTGATGAACCGAACCAAGACCGTTACATTGGAGTTCGGATGCCAAGTAAACTGATGCAGATAATACTTGTGAGAGTAACGTGAATTTACAGATGTAAGTACATGTTCTGTGCTGTGTTCCAGCCCCCACGAGCAATAATGAACTTTGTAGTGCGCTACAGGCCAGATGAGCAGCCTTCACTGAGACCACATCACGACTCCTCCACGTATACCATCAATGTGGCTCTCAACCGACCAAACATAGACTATGAGGTGGGGCACTTTGAATATGAAAAGCCTCTTAACACTAGAATTAAATAACCATATTCTGTTAATAGTGCACACACAGACTAACCCTTAGATGGCACGGACTTCTTTAAAACTCACTTCTGAATTCGTACTCATACCAAAAGTCGTGTTGTCATATTGCTGTAAAGGTCAAAGGTTATTCAAAGTGAGCTCCTTTGAAGGAGATTTTTGGTTTTGCAAACATGAGATAATCATTTTTCTTTTCTCCGCATGTTTTTATGGACAGAACGCTGTGGCTATGAATGGTTACTGCAGCCACAGAATAAACTGCTGAATCATGCCAGTTGATGCGCACAAATATCAGTTTGGTTATTTAATTGTCAAACGCTGGGAATGGGCAGACTGGTAGTCAGAGCTAGTTGTATGGGTCTGAAGCCTCCAGTTAGCATCTGTTCAACAGATTAAATGTGGTGAATGCTCACTGCTGCCCAATTCAGAATCTTCTGTCTTCCCATTGTATCTGAATACACAAATATTAAAATATACAAAATTATATTTTACTTGTTTGGATTTGGAGCTTGCTCTCTCACATCGAAGGAGGAACTTTATTGAAGAGTGATTCGAAAACAGTATATGATATCAAGGAGGGTGAGATGGGTGGGGTGTTGTCTGCCATAGCATAATCATGAGGAGAAAATATGAAATACCTTGTCTTCTCCTTCTTCTTGCACCATAGTATGGGAAGTATCGCATTGGTGCCAGAGGAAGTGGTGGTATTTTCATGGCAGTAGACAGCCAGGACTGTTCTGCTGGTGACAAGGGATGTGTGAACAGGATGGTGACCTCTGGTTGCAGGGAGGTGGATGCAGATTCATCCGTTACAACTGCAGTGTCACAGACACGCGGCTTGGCTGGATGCTGATGCATCCTGGGCGACTGACGCACTACCACGAGGGTCTGCAAGTTACAAAAGGAACGCGATACATCATGATCTCATTCGTTGACCCATAGACCAGCTACAGTGTCACACAGCCGCACACTGATGACTCCAGGGTTGCTAGGCGCTTGCTTTGAGTTCCTTTACAAGAGTCATGCCTTCACATTGACATACTTTTAATAGTCTTCATGGATTGATGAATCACACAGTGCTGACTGACAGGCAGAGGATTGCACCGTCAGTGGCTAACACAGCTTAGTCAGCATGTTATTGCTGTGTCATTTATTCTATAACATGATACTGTCAGACAGAACATTTTGACTTTAAGCTGATAAAAATATTGCTTACTGTTACAGATCCTGAGCCAGCACTCTTTAATTCACGTCCCCACTACCCATTTCTCGAAGACCAGCTTTAATATTTTCCTTCGCTTCTTTCTTTGTATTGGATGTATAATAAGAAATATGGGTCAAAGACCCCTAGAAGGAAATTCATCCTTCCTGTCCCAGTGCATTTATTTAATAAATATTCTTCTTAAAAACTGGATTTTATAAAAGTGTTTACTGACATATTTTAACACTGACACGCATGTGATATGTTGAGACCAGCCTCAGATCGTATTAAATATGGAATTGGAGCGTTTGTTTTGTTGATGACGGACCACCCAGAATAATGTGAATGTTACGTTTTGAAACGTGAGCCCCAATTCAATGCGAGTGTCCCGCCACCATTTTACGTATAATATGCATCAAATTTTATATCTTAAAACAGTTTAACTGAATGTATTATTTTTTCCGGTTTTGTTGGCCTAGTTAATATGCCTGCCTTGGGCAGAGTTCTGATACCTGGCTTATTTTTTTACACTGGTGTTTTCATGTTCTGTTTACGTCCCATCTCTGGTCTAGATAGCGCTTGACTTTAATGAACTCCACCACGCAGTTAACTTTTCTTTTAACCTCAAGATGGAGACAGTCAGATTATGAAATGTGTTGCATCTTTCCGTGGCAATGCAGAGTGTCCAGAAAGTACTCCCATGTTGAAGTTGAGTTCATCTGCATTATAAAAGTAACGCTGGATCAGTTCATCAGCTGGCAACCTTGTGAGCATGGAAATTCGGTTTGTGTCGTGTCGGTTAACTTGCTAACATAATGCTGCGTTACGTGTCCAAGTGTGTGAACCATGGCTGCATGCTTTGATGTCGCAAATCTTCACAGATTCGACAAGAATTATGCTACAGGCTACACGTAGAGGAAACAGGAAATGTTTTATCGCTTATTTCACCGTCATATTTATATCGGTACGGCTGTTGCTGCTTTTAATACTATTTCTGATTACTTGAGTGTGCTTTGATGTCGCAAATCTTCACAGATTCGACAAGAATTATGCTACAGGCTACACGTAGAGGAAACAGGAAATGTTTTATCGCTTATTTCACCGTCATATTTATATCGGTACGGCTGTTGCTGCTTTTAATACTATTTCTGATTACTTGAGTGTGCGGAGGAAATTTCTAAATTTAATGCAGATAGTTCTGGGTTATTTCCAGCAGTTTTGTTATGTCTGTGATTCGTGCACTTGGTCATTGTTATTAAAAATGTTTTTCATAGTTAAGCTGCTAACCAAAGAAATGTAAAACATTTATATATCTCACTAATGTCTTGAATGTGTATTGTTTAACATTAATTATAACAAACAAATCAACCATATGGCAATGTTATTAGTTGGCAAGACTGAGACTAACGAAATGAACAGAAGATAAGTGGCTAGAGCAGTTTGAATTGCTTTTGCTTCGGCATGTAGAAGCTTCTTTTATATATGATAAACGGCCTGCTTTTCTTTTTGAGGTTCAGAAACTTTATGTATAAGAATTCTGTATGTTATGCATCAGTGTTGCCAATTCTGTCTTGACAGTCTGAAGGTTGGTTCCATGCCGTTTACTTAAGGACAGGATAATTGTTCATTGTAATATTATTTTTATTTAAAAATTCTTAGATATTGTATTTAAGATATGTTTTTAATGCATTTTTGTTTTTTATTCTGCCTGCACAAACTCTGTCCATTCACACATTTCCCATCTTCTTCCTTATCTATTTAATTGTGTCTTGTGTAAGGGAGATTACCCGGGAGACCAAGACATAGGAGAACGGATTGTTTTGAGATGAGTTAACATCCGGGAAGTGGTGGATGAATCCTCTGTACATTATATATGCTGTGCGCTACACATCAGACACTGGACGCCATTAATGAGAGAGTAAAATGGAACAGCAGAGCAGCAAAGGACTGATTTTCCGGTGGTTGCCAGGAAAAGCTTGTCGGTACGGTGAGTTCTGACAAATCCGTTGCAACATACCTAGTACATGTAGTCATCGTTTTGTAAAGATATGCTGTTTGTATCTATTTAAGGGGGGGGAAAAGGACAAGGAGGAGTTGCTAGCTGCAGTTTTCTTAAATTTAAATTATCCGTCGTATTAATTTGTCGAAGTTTCCACAGATACAACTCATTATTTGTATCTTACATTTCTATATTATGCCTAAGATGTTTCAACATGGTTCACCTTCAGGGGCTTATATATACCACCAGGTTTACATTATTTATTGTAATTATATTTGAGCATTAGATATCTGTCCTGTGAGTGAAGCAATGGCTTCAGCCCTCAGTTCATGCAGGTAGATGAATGGGTTTAAAGTACTTGCAGACCATGGCTTCTTCCTCGCATGTCTGATTTACATTATTAGTCTGTGACATTCGAGGTTCTCATAGCAGCGAAGATGTTTCAAATATTTTGAGAGGAATGTACCATCTTCAGGGTTGACTATGTTTGTCCGAAACGTTTGTAAGAACCTACTCCACACTGCCCAAGAAATCTGTAAAAATTGAACTGAAAGCCAGGGTTCCATGGTTAGCACTAAGGGAGGTTCAGGGTTTGGCTCTCAGTATGGAAGTAGGCTTTTGAAATTTTCTGCGTAAAGCGGAAATATCACAGTAAGAAGACGCAGACCTTCAGAAAAATACTGATACTGTTGACTGAAGTGCATCACGACCACTAGCTACAAGTGGTACAATGCAAATAGTTTAATAACTTTATTACGTAAGGAGGACAACACGCACATCCTACATTTGAAAATTCAACCGGTCAGACACGCCACAGCCCACCGCCGACTTGGAGGGTCAGGAAACATAGACGTTAAATAATTACCATTGGAAGGGAAACGGAAATAGCAGCGGAGAGAAAGTAATTTTGCTATTCTTATCTGTGGACGTAACTCTTCATTTATGCATCAGATGGCGTTGCTGAGCTGCCGCCAGGTTGTGCTGCTATCGGCGTGGAGCAAGATTGGCCAGGCTTGCAATGTCGTGCGGTGAAGACTAGCGTACAGGGGCAGACGGCAGCAAAAATGCACCCTGAGGAAGAGAGATGATCAGGCTGTAGCATGGCCCAATTCATGATCACGTAGAGAAGTCTCAAGTGTTGCAAACAAGCTGTTTAAATATTAACTGTGATCAATCATTCCGTCACGAAAACGTCCGGATTGTGCAACCCTTTGACGTCATCCATCTGCAAACGTCTTCATAAAGGTAAGACGAGCCAGTGCCTGTACCGGAGGTCAGGCGATCACACCCTGCGTACGCGAAATAAAGACCGGGAAACGAGTAATCAGATTGCTTAGTGGTTTCGGAAGGCGTCTTTTAAACGAGGACAACGCCTGTTGCATTGTGAGCCCGCAGCCATAACAAATATACGCAATAGCGATCATAATTTGCACTTCGCAGAATATTAATATCAAGGTAGTCGAATGAAGGAGGCTCGGAGCGTGTAGCACGCATGGGTTTTAAGTGAGCAATGGATGGATTGGGTTCAACTGGCTCGGGATAGGGTCCACAGCAATGAACCTTCGGATTCCATATAGCATGGGAAATTTGTTTCCGAGCTGAGTGACTATCAGCTTTTCGAGAATAACTCTTCAGAATTGTGATACCTGGTAGTCTTGTAGGCAGTTACCAGAGCTTCGTAGGAATATATCGCCTCCATCTTCAGGGCTAGATCTTTCGGTGGCACAGAATACAGAGAAACTGACGGCCGATGCTGGATTCCCGGAAGGGCAGAAATGTTCTTGGGGCGCTAGACACAAGCGGGGCCTTCGCCCTGTTGATCGATACTGCTTTGCGGTGTCACGCTCGGGCTCGTCAGATATTACATTGTTAGAGCTAGTCAACAGTAGAGATACTGAGCTTCGCTTTAAGGAGCTGTGAAAACATCCGCATTTTGCGTTCATATGACTACTTAACCCCAGCCACGGTGGTCTAGCGGTTAGAACGCTGGCCTTGTAATCCTGGGGTCTCGGGTTCGAATTTATAACTTGTGTTGGGCAAGGCCGTGGTCTAGGCAACACGGAGTTTTCCTCCGTGGCATCCCAACAATTACTCCATTCACACACAGAAGAAGGCAATGGCAAACCACTTCTGGATCATCTGCCAAGAACGTATATGAACAGGTCCCAGTCCGAGAAAAGGATGAAAGGATCCTGTTCATATGGACCTGTCGTCAGACAGAACACTAAATAAAAAAAATAATGACAGGCGTAGATGAGAGAATAAGTTAGGAATTGTATGTTAGTTAGTTCAGTAATTGCCCTTGGATTTTTAAATCACAAATGCTTGTTTCTGGCGCTCGTTGATAGAGGTAAAAACAGACGGAACGGGTGAGAAACTCGTGTGCGATTCTATTTAAAGGGCCCCTTATTATCCGATTTTAACCAAAATTGGCACGTGTCAACACTTCCCATGTTAAATTTTTATGAAAATTCTATTAGCAGTACGTAGTCTAACTGTAACATTCGGACTGGCATCCACGTTGATGGTACTCAATAATTTCGTCCACGAATGTAGTTAACTACCCTGCTTAAAAATAGGCTCAATGATAGATACCTTCCATTGTTCTGAATAGAATTAATAATTCTGAGGTTGTCAGAACTCGGGATTAGTTCGATTTATACGCTGTTTTACTTTCCAGTACAGAAATCAGATCAGAAATGTAACAGGGTCTCCCAACCTCCCCCGTGACACTCAAACCAACGTCGCCTTAGTTGCTAGGCCGCTGCTCACGCCATTTGCAAAAGAGCTGTGCGGATGTAGACGCGATGAATTCGTGTTCGTTCTTTAACATCGATTAGTATCGTAATCGTTCGACGCCGTTCACAAAACATTTAGAAGTGCGAATCCTGACAAGGAACTGCCTTACAGAATAAAACAATTCACAGACTAATAACAATGTTTCGTGACGAAAGAATTGTTTGTCTGTGACAAGAGCTCATCATCGATCGATCGAAAGAGAAAAAACAGTTTAAATTGCTAGCGCGCCGATTCCAAGTAGAGCATTAGCAGCAACAATGGAACACGGCTTCGAGAATTCAGTGTTGCCATTGTTTTCGTGAGTTAGGGCTGCATTTTAAATAGAATATTCTTTACATTCAATAGCTCACGGAAATAATTGTTCTGCTTTTACAAAATATCGTGCGAATCTGCAAGCAGGAAGCCATTCTTGTCGTTTAGAAATTTGTAGTTTGCTTATATTTCCATATTCACTTATGTCTTTCATGTACTTTATTCATTTTCCTTGTTACTAAAAGTTTCGCCTTTGAAATATTTCACACCGTGTATTAACGTGGTCACGTGATAGTCTTCTGATATATATCGCCGTGTGATGATAATCGATTGGCTGTTGATTCGTTTTTGTTTTAAAATTTCAAACACGGCGATGACAAGAAATTCTGGGACTACGTCTATAAATTCTGAGTTAAATAGAAGTATTAGCAGAAATTTCACGTGTAAATATGTAATGTTGTTAATACCGCGAGGCGCTATCTTATAGCCGTGTTGTTCTTATGGATGCGACGTAACGATTTTCCGACTGTGAGCCCGGAGCAAGCTTCAAACAGCGACTGAATAATTTATGAGGTTAGATTACACCGAACCGTGTAATGTCCAGTGACCACCTTCAGAAAACATCGTGTTTATTGTGTTTTTTTTCGGGTATGCGCCTTGAGTGTCTCATTCTGACGGCAAAAATTCGATCGAGGTTGTCTAAGAGCAAGGTGGTGAGAATATTGGGACCTAAGAGAGAAGTGCAGAGAGAAATGTCGTAGGTCTATTCTTAAACTGATGCTAGGCCTATGGAATTTAAATCAAGGCGTAAAATATAAGGAATTCTCAAACGCTCGGTCCTTCCTCGCAGCCTCAACCGGGTCTCAAAATTCCGTGGCTTCGATTTGGCTGTTTACGTCATGGAGTGGCCGGTCGGATAGACGGGAACCGAACACACACACCCCATCGCCCACCCGCGTCGACTTTGTGGTGATTATTCATTGAGTTAAGTTGCGCAGTAGCGAATAATTTCACTTTCTGGACATCCGATGTCAGTTGCGTTATTTGAACTGGCATGGATTGGTCGTGGGGGCATGACAGGATGTATAAAGGAAATATTTAGAATAAAGCCAATATATAAACTTCCTTTCCTTTATAGACGTATTTACGTCAAATTCTCCGGAACCCTGGTTCCACTGACAACTTTTTTTAACAAAATCTATTTTTGTAGTTTCGGATATAAAACTTTGCCCTGCAGCTGGACGGATAGACCCGTCAATTACGTAATTGCCTCATGCCCCTTGTGCGTAGTTCTACAGCAGTCTCCTTAACCCTTTAAAGCCCTTCGGGGAAAACATATACCACCTGCTTTAACGCTCCACATCTCTGCATTTTACCCACAAAGTGTATTTATGTGTTTTGTACGATTCTGAGTGCAAACAGCGATTATTTCTTTAAACAGCGTTAACCAGTTGATCTTTGTAATGGTGAAGTGCGGTGTTTTCTTCGCGGTACGGACCGGATCTTTAAATATTATTCAGATTCCTACGCACTGTATCTATGAGTTTCGTGTGATTCTCACTGTAAACAGCGATTATTTCCTTAAACAGCGTTAACCAGTTGATCTTTGTAATGGTGAAGTCTAGTGTTTTCTTCGCGGTACGGAATGAATCTTTAAATATTATTCAGATTCCTACGCACTGTATCTATGAGTTTCGTGTGATTCTCACTGTAAACAGCGATTATTTCCCTAAACGGCGTTAACCACTCGATCTTTGTAATGGTGAAGCGTGGTGTTTTCTTCGCGGTACGGACCGGATCTTTAAATATCCTTTAGATTAAAAGAAACTAGAAAGCAAGGAGACATACGCGCACCACGTCTGCTATAAAGAGACTACTTGCATGACCGAGACATAGATGAGAGTATAATAATAATATGATAACACAACTTAAGTGGGTGGCCTGTTTTTTTTTTTGTATGTTTGTGAGTTTTGGTATTTTCAGCGATTTACCAGCTGTGAAGTTTACAGCCTTGAACGAACGATAATAAACTGGAAGGATGTGCAAGGAAGCGGTCGTGGCCCGTTTAAGGACACTATCGTGGCGTTAGCGTGCTCATATGAGCCGTTTAGACCCCTTCGTGGGATGAACCACACTCCAACCCCGGGGAGGCCCTGACGTCACTGTGCCGTGAGGTCACGGTGTTGACCTTTAAAGAGACATGATCCAATCGATAGGAATTTGCATTTCAAATGTTGCTACACCCCTCAACCGAAGCTTTCCTGGGTTCTGTATCAGCTGTTGATGTCACAGAATAGAGTGTGTAGGCTCCGTACATGCCATAGGACGAGATGTGGTCGGATGACTGCGGGTAGTGAAGAGGAGGGTATGTGGAAGGAAGCGGCTGCTGTCTGCAGGAATTTCTGTCAACGAATTGGAAAACGGCTTAAGAATCTGAGCCAGTTCAAGGCGAGGTGCGGGGGTTCACACTGATCGTGTTCGGGCTGTAGTGCCTCCGCAGGTGTGGACGGTTGAACGAGCCGCAGATAATGGCTCGAGGGTATAGCTTTGCGGAAGCCTGAATACCAACACCGACCGGTGACCTTGCTTTTGAAGCCAACTCGGCTGAACACTTGTTCGATGGCGCGAACGGAAACACACCAGTGAACGAGCCGCCTACCGGGGTTCGGTCGTCTCCTCGGATGTCCCCATTTCTTGCTTTTTCGTGCTCTCAGTTTTTTGACATGGTGACAGAATAACCCTTACATCTCTTTCAGTTTCTGATCGACGTATGCTTGATCGATACGTGATCTCGATTCATACATCGTTCATTTCATTCCTGTTTGTATAATATGTTTGTTATTTCGATGGGACGAGTCTATGTATGCCTCTGTGGAACTGCGCCCTCGAATGGGCCCATAAGTTTCATCCCGTACTAAAAATAATGGAAACAGGAAGCCAAGGCCGTCCACTCAGGACCGAGGTATGAACGTCGCTTGCGAGACGCGGATCGCCGAGCAGTGAACGCGTCCACACCTGGACGTAAGTACAGAAACGTTTCCTTTTGAGTTCCCGCTCTTGAGCGAATTTTTCCGTGTTCGCTGCTCGCTCACGCCGTCCACATATAACAGAAGACGCCCGTATCGACGAATTCCTGGGTGTCTCAAAGAAGCAGCTCTGATGCATTTTACATTGCGGTATACCAGCCTTAACTAAGCCTTCAGACATCTGCTTGTGATCGATTCTTAGGTCATCTAACGAAGTTTTTCTTTTTCTCCTTCGAAACTAAAACCTACAAAAATTTCGCCTGTCAGCTTCGCCTTGGCGTGTCAACCTGAACTTAACAATCCTAGAACCACTACACGGATTTTCATCAAATGTGACATTGAGGAGTTTTACTAACGCGCGTCGATACATAAACTCCACACGAAGACCTGTGCGAAAGGAACTAACTATTTAGGAATCCGGCGGTGCCCGAATTTATAACTTGTGTTGGGCAAGGCCGTGGTCTAGGCAACACGGAGTTTTCCTCCGTGGCATCCCAACAATTACTCCATTCACACACAGAAGAAGGCAATGGCAAACCACTTCTGGATCATCTGCCAAGAACGTATATGAACAGGTCCCAGTCCGAGAAAAGGATGGAAGGATCCTGTTCATATTGACCTGTCCTCAGACAGAACACTGAATAATATATAATAAACCAACTGCATAATGACGTTGGGAATCCCCGAGAATCCTCCGTTATGACGTCACTGATGCCATTCGGAAATGCCGACGATCAAATTCTAGCGAAAATGCAATCGTTCTTAAGCGAAGAGTTTATCGACAACAAATGGAAGGATAACTGACCTTTCTTAATTTGAAAGGATGCGAAGGAAACAGTCGACGTGGCTTGTTTTAAGGCTCCAGGAAGTGTTTTGTCATTCGGCTCCGATGTTTCGTTGCACTCTGTACCAGCGCCGACACCCCCGCGAACCGTGCCTCGGAAGAGGCTGTGTACTATCGATTGTGCTACAGTAACAGAGCCCAATTTGTGCAGGCAGTTAAGGACCCCCCAGTAGCATGACCTCCCTGCCGAGCCGTTCATGACGGGACACAGGGACACAGCGGGTTCATAGGCCAGTCAGTCTCTATATGGATTTCCGATGTCGAGGTGCGACCAAAATGTACCGAGGTGTGACAAAAAGGTGTCGGTAATATAATGCATTTCCTGTCTTCCTGTTTTATTTCCGCTCTGTTTACGATGTACTCGTTGTCTCAGCTCCGCCCGACTCCGCGTCTTCTGGTACGGCGTGGAATGCGTTGAGCCTTAGTTCAGCTGTATTTTTCTTTTGTTTCAGTATGAAGCTTGGCGTGTTTCCGCAAGTGAACAGGGCGGACCTGAAGCGAGACGGACTAGCGCTGTTCAGTAAACTCATCCGCACCAAGAATGTGGAGGGCATGCAGGGGGAGGAGCCACAGGGCCCTTCGCAGCCACAGGACCCCAAGAAACTGAAACTCAAGGTCACGCAGACGATTTCAACTTAATTATTTCTCAAACTGCTGAGATGTGGTTGTTAATGGAGTGGGTTCTAGGACACTAGTAACACATACAAAAATTTTGAGAAAAATTTATAATTATCTGACGGAGTTTAGTTAGAATTATAAATCTGTATTTCGACAGAATTTCTTTTTAGCATAGAGCGTAGTCATTGCAAACTGACAGGTACTGCATCATGCAAAGTTTCCAAGGACGCCATTCGTCTATCATGAGGACGACAGCAACCATCTACGAGCTGAGACACGTTTTCCAAATTTTGACATCCTCGGCTTCACTGCGCTTGGCACCTGCTGGATCAGAGAAGCAGATGGGACCGCGAGCAGTCCACGTTGCTAGGCAACGGACAATTAATTACCTATTTCAAAGTGATTTTGGCCTGCCAAATATAACGCTGACATTGAAATTGCAGAAATGTCTGACGACGCTGGATCTGACGTCACTGGGTGTGGGCTCTTGCGTGGGTACGGGAATGTACCTCGTGGCCGGCATGGTGGCGCGCAATTATGCCGGCCCTGGCGTGGTCGTCTCCTTCATAATCGCAGCTGTGGCGTCCATCTTCTCCGGTAAGTATGGCGCAGTACCCTGTGCCTAAGCCCCACTGTCTTCGTCCTGGCAGACTCCACTCGTTTGAGGCCGAAGGTCGTCTAAATAATATTTAAGAATTCAGTCCGTACCGCGAAGAAAACACTGCACTTTACCATTACGACTGGTTAACGCTGTTCCCCTGAACCTCCTTGTTTCTGCGTCACGTGAGCGCCGTGTTTGATACGTTATGCCTGTGCAGAGCCTAATTATCGATTTTAAATCAACAGATGAGCACCGAACTGCGAGCCTCACGTCTCTACGGCTTCCAGGAAATGCACAACAAAAACGCAACCACATAACAGCGTTTCTGAAACTTTCTCTTTTGACGTATTTTGAAGTTTGCCTCTTAAATAAGGACTTAAGTTCAGTATTCTACAAACTGAAGGCTGGAGTTTCGTCCTTACCTCTCATTCTGCCCATCCGTCGCGTCAGGGGACGCCCTCACCAACTTCCTCGAGAGGCGGAGTCCACCCAGAATGTCGACAACCCGCTTGACACATGTGTCGGAGAAGTTGCCGCAGCAGCACGGCGCTGGTTCTGTGTTACCGTCTGAGGAGAAGTTGTGTTGTGTCTGAGAAAACCAAGGAAGGACTACAAGTGATTTAGACATGCTGCTTAATTAGGTATCTAAGCGGCTTGCAGAGGGTAAGGTTTACATACAGGAGTCAGGTCTGAAGGCCTGTTGAAAAACTTGCGATACGAGAAGCCAATGAAAGGATTACACGAAAATGCACTTCTAGAAGGTGGAAGTGCCTGAGATGGACCTACATGTGATCCCACTGTCGGCACGGTGTGTCCGGAAGGTTCCCTTGACGACAGACCGAACCTTTCACAAGATGCAGTGTCTGTGGGGCGCGGGCTACGGATGGACTGCTCGTGACGTAAACAAAACCTAAATAGATCTATCCAAGAATCGATTGTGATGTCACAAGCCGCTTTCATTGCAGTTCCGTGACATAAATGGCGGGCCGTGTTACTCATGAGAACAGTTTCAATGTTTGATGAGTCCACGTGACGTCACTGAGCGCCGTCAATACGTCAGCTGTCGTTTCACTTTCAGCTGTTGCTAGGAGACGATCACTTTTGTGAGTTCCTGCCGCGGAATTCGCAAAGTTCACAGGCCGGCGTGTTCAGCGGCTGTGCTGTGGGAATTGGACCACAGTCAGCTGTCACCGGGTCATGCATGACCCTTTGTGGAGCCCGATAGTTCATAATCATGTCCACAAGAGCCCGCCACTGGTCCCTGCCCTCAATCAGACTAATTCAATACACCCCCCTCCCCAAACACTATTTCCCTCATATGCATTTTCCTTACTTCCATCGATGTCTTGGTCTTCCGAGTGGTTTCTTCCCTTCAGACTTCCTAACCATAATATTGTACACATTTCTTATCTCTCCAGGCGCTTGTCATACTAAATAGGTATTACAAACTCATGACTCATACTGAAATTCATGAGAGGATCCTACATTCCACTTTATAGAGCCTACAGATTTTTTGAAACCCCATTACGTATCCAGAAATCATTTTGACACACACTTGGGGTGAAACATCCGTCAAGCATGCCACAAATTTTTGCATCAGTATTATTCAACACTTAATCATTTGATACTGCGTCGTTGAATAACCGAAAATTCAGTTACGACAGCGTAGGATGATAATTAGGATCTACTGACAAATGACAAATGCACTTTTTTCCCCCAGGGGCCTGCTACGCGGAGTTCGGAGTTCGAGTCCCACACACGACTGGCTCTGCGTATATGTACAGTTATGTGACGGTCGGTGAATTCATCGCTTTTGTGATTGGCTGGAACATGGTGCTCGAATACCTCATTGGCACGTCAGCTTGCGCATGCGCACTCAGCGCCTGTTTCGACGCGTTGGCTAACGGTGGTATCAGTGGGGCCATCGGCGGAGCTGTGGGAACTATTTTTGGTGAGTTTTGGCGAAGCCGAATCAAACACTCTTGATTCTGAAGTAGGTCACAATTGCAAAATATCAGGACAATGTCGATAAGACATAAACTTTGATTTGCCACTGCGAAGGTCCCCAGGCAATGCCCGCTCGTCCTTCTGATTCGCTGAAGGCGAGGCATTTGAAAGTGGAAAGGGTGGGATGAAAAGTGGAGCAAAGCCCGTCTAAATAATATTTAATAATTCAGTCCTTACCGCAAAGAAAACACACCGCATCTCCATTACAACGATCAATCGGTTAATGCTGTTGTGGGAAGTAATCTCTGTTTAGTCTGAGAATTTTACGAAACCCATTACATTTTGTGGGCGAAATGCAGATTTAATGATTGTTAAAGCAGGTGGTACCACTGCGTTTTAAATGTGAAACTGTGCTTATCGCTGTTCAAATGTTCGATTGGTTTGCAGGGCGACCGCCCGACTTCCTGGCGTTCGTGATCACGATTCTGATGACGCTTCTCATGGCGGCAGGCGTCAAAAAGTCGCTGGTCTTCAACAACGTGTTGAACGCGCTGAACCTGTCCGTGTGGGTGTTCGTGATGGCTGCCGGTCTCTTTTACGTGGACACAAGCAACTGGAGCGACCACAAGGGCTTCCTGCCGTACGGCTGGCCGGGGGTGAGTGGATGCGACGCGGAGAAAACCAAATCCAGTAAACGACTTTTAACAGTTTTTAGTTTCGGAGATCAGATACACGGACGAACGGACACAAGCACAGGTACGAATGTCAATGTTATGAATGACTTCATCTTATGAACTTCATGCACAGAAAAAGAGAATCATTGGTCTGGAAATTAGCACAAAGACAAGCCCCTCCCTTTTATTATTTGAAAATAGGCATCTGGTTGCCATGGTTACTCCCCAACAAGTGTGAATAAGTAATTCTACAAATTTGTGTGCTGTGTGCAGGTGCTGACAGGAGCCGCCACTTGCTTCTACGCCTTCATTGGGTTTGACATAATAGCCACAACGGGGGAAGAGGCCAACAACCCTAAGCGATCCATCCCCTTGGCCATCGTCAGCAGCCTCGTCATCATACTCATCGCCTACGTCACTTCCTCGATGATGCTTACTCTGATCGGTGAGACATTTTCATCCGCTGCTCGTTGAATCTTACAGCCTTCACTATCTGTTTCAACCATTTGTCTCTTGATAGTTACTCTTTTTACATAATTTAATGCTAATTTATATAACTTGTAGTAGTTGATGGCCCATCAGAGGTTACAGGCACCGAAGATCTTTTAGGTTAACGATTATTACATAAATTTCAGGACAACCAAAATTAGTACGAGGGCTCTTTCTGAAAGGGCCAGTCAATTTCTGTTCTTGTCTTGGCAAGGTCATTTCAAACCAAGAGAGTTACAGGATTGGGTAATGTAAAAACAAAATTCTGCGTTTCATGTATTTCCTCATGTGCTCTGCATGTAAAACGAACTGTCTTGTACAGATGGTAATGTGTTGCAGTGCCGTACGACGAGGTAGATGCTGATTCAGCACTGGTGGAGATGTTTGGGCAGGTCGGGGCCATGAAGTGCAAGTACATTGTGGCGGTCGGGGCACTGGCAGGTCTCACTGTGTCCATGTTTGGTTCCATGTTTCCCATGCCACGCATCGTGTATGCCATGGCTCAGGATGGACTCATATTCAGGTAAGGTGTGAGGATTTATCATGTGGGGTAGAATGGGGAGAGCTGAAGTGAAATGTGCTCGCTGTGTGTTGCAGGACCCTGTCGCAGGTTTGGCCGACCACCGGAACACCGGTGCTCGCCACTTTCATATCTGGCCTTGCTGCGGCAATGGCGGCGCTGTTAATTCAGCTGGAAGTCCTTGTCGAGATGATGTCTATTGGTAAGCCTGAGACACTCTGCTTTCTGGTGCAGGTGATGACACGGCGAATGCTCGTCATCCTGTACTTAGTATGAAGACTTCTTTGTTCAGGTCGTGATCTGCTTATCATTAAGAACTATGACATGGTACCATCACCTGTGGTATTTTAACAGCAGACGATCAGACTAGCATAATGCTGCACAATGTACGTAATTGATCCACGACTGTCTATATTTATTGTCTTGGTTTCACAAGTAGATGAACCATCAGTTACTTTCATGTGCAGAATCCCTTTGCTAATTTCGCAGCAGTCAACATTGTCTAAGGGAAACTGAAAGGGCCACGCTCACTGTGTTAGTGTTAGCCTTTTGGGTCATGACACCATGTGTGTTAACATTGTCTAAGGGAAACAAAGGGCCACACTCACTGTGTTAGTTTTAGCCTTTTGGGTCATGACACCATGTGGACTCAGAGGTCGATACAAGCATTTCAGAGGAACATACTGACTCCATCTTCAAGGCTGAAGTGAATTATATGCTGTACATTACCTCTGGTTGGTGTAACAGAGCAAACTAACAATTATCTCCGTGGTTCAGGCACGCTCCTTGCCTACACACTCGTATCAACCTGCGTGCTGATCTTGAGGTACCAGCCCCATTCCACCAACCTTATCGAACTGCTGCCCCAGAGCCTCAGAACTCCCATTCGTGGCTCACCCACCAAGGAGAATCTCAGCAATGGACAGGTAGGTAATATCCGACCCTGACCTCACGAATTATTTAGGACATTTTACATCTGCAGTTGTCCGGAATATAAATTAGGGTCAGTGCTACTGTCATCATTTGTCTGCATATTCATCCTGTCTTTCAATTGTAACTCACATATGTAGCTGAAAATGCATTACTCAACAGACGAAGAAACAAAAATGAAAGACATTGACCTGGGCCACTTCCCATCCTCACCAAATAGTTCTCTAAGATTAATATTAACTGCAACCACCATCTGCATCTTGGTCTTTCACTTATCCATCTTCCTAATGACTTTCCTGTATAGGTGCTCTATGGGAAGCAGTTGCAACCCGACCAACTGAGAGCGGCTCTCGGCACCACGGCGCCCTCCCCCGCGACCCCTATCCACCAGCCTCCGGCGTCAGCTGTTGTTGGTATGGGCCCCACTGGTACCCACCACAACCAGCAACAGAGGATTATGGTGCGGCGGGTCACACGCAGGTGAGGTTCATTATAGTTTGACTCACCACATTCTGATTACCAGGTACATTATAATCCACATTCAACTCTGCTTACACAAATGAGAAATTTGGAACCAGTTCAGTCAAATGATTCTTACGTCTACAGCTTTCATACCCTGAGGTTTTGTACGCCTCTTCATTCCGCTTTCCACAACCTCAGATTTTTCTCCATGTTCAGGTTCGACACACAAAGTAGGAATCAACATACATGTCTCATTTCTCAATCTGTTTCACGCAGGACGGATTGCACAGGCAATGTGCAAGGATTCGAAGAGTAAGCGCTGTGTGTTCCCCGTTGCACGTAACACAGACAAGCCCTTCAGAATGACCCTCCCCAAATCTGTTGTGACATACCCCGAATGCAGTTCCCAGTATCAACATGGTGACTGTTGTGTACATCTCCCCTGTTAATCATGTATGGCGTGTGTCTTTATGTCAGGTTCACTGCATGTCCCAATGGGCAGATTCCTACTCAACCTCCTTTGTGTTTGCAAATAAGTTTTCTGAGTTTCTATGGGAATAAAAATCATTACAAAATGGATGGGCCATCAGTCCATGCCAGTATAATGCTTACGTATGAGCACATGAAGTGTTTTAAGATCGCAATTACATATTCATCATTTTGTTTTGATGTAACGTGTGTTGACTGAAGATCATCTGAGATAAACTGTTCTTTTGAATCGTGGTTGGAAACCATCTTTCAGTCTCTTTTGCAGCAATAATACGTGAATGTTTTACCATGACACTAGCAGCCAAACTGCTGATTATGAGTCCTCATAAGGTCTAAAGTGTCAATTTTACATCATCAATTCACACCTGAAGGACTGGCAAGTATGTTTCTGTGGCCAGACACTAACCGTGCATCATGATTACACGCTACTTACCTGCCAGTAAGGAAAGGGCAGGTACAGTTACTGACGTGGAACTACATGTGATCCACAGTTCACCTGACAGCGATGACACATTCCCAGGTGAGGAGCCAGAGGAGGAGTTCTCTATGCGGGATGACCAGTTCTTGGTGTCAGACCGCAGTGAAAACAAGTTTTATGGCACAGTACATGGTGGCAGCACAGGGGGCAGTGGTGTGGCAGGGGCAGTGGGACCCAGCCTGGGGTATATCGGTAGAAGACTGCAGGTGAGTCATCTGTGTGCCGCGCCACCCAGCAGAATTAAAACCCCTAAGGGTATTCTGTACTATGTGTCTGATGTGATGTCCTTATAATATGCGCACTATTATAATGAGCGCACAAGTGACAGGACAGTCGGACGGACACATACGTGACATTACTCTTTATAATGTGTCAGGCCGCCACATACCTGTGCCCAGCCATATTTCCGTGGGTGGACACAGGTCCTGCGACAGAGGAGTCGGGCATGTTCGTCATGAAGATGGTGGGACTGTTGTACCTGCTGATCCTCATCTTTGACCTGATTGTCGTGTGTGGCATGGGCTCCATGTCAGGCGCCACCACTTTCTTCCTTGTGGTCTTTCTCCTGGCAATCATTGCCGTTCTGCTCGTCATCTCCAGGAAGCCCCAGAACAGGTAATTCGTCCTCATTCATTTCTGTAGTTTTTTCTATTTGCACATGTTCATTTTCACCACTCAGTAGTCACTCACTCATCTTTCCTCTGTCCTAAACTTATTTGTCTTTCTCCTTTTTCTTCTGTAATATATTCCTTCTCTAGTTTGTTTTTGTGTTTCTTTGGTAATTCATTTTTGTTTTCACCCAGCTGCCAGACTGAAAGTACTTCTCTTTCATGGTTCCATTGCAGGAAGACCTTGTTGTTCATGACCCCAGGACTGCCCTTTGTGCCAGCCATAGCAGTCATGGTCAACATCTACCTCATCTTCAAGCTGTCCATCCTTACTCTCGTTCGCTTCATTGTCTGGATGACGATAGGTACAGTATTTCATCCTTATTATGTGGCACTCCTCCGAGTTGACCTCGTTAAGAGAATACACCAACTGTACGCCTCTGCGATTAATGCCAGTATTGTCGAATCTAAATATTATCAAAATAGGCCTGTGCAATGAACTTGAAAATATGATTTAATAATTTATGGCCTTGCAATAACATCCAGTGACAAAATTTCAGCAAAGACAGGGATGCTGGAAGTGTTTGTCTTGTGCTGGCAGGTCTGGGTGTGTACTTCTACTACGGCATTAAGCACAGCACGCTGGAGGAAGAAGAGAGCACTGGTGACCAGCAAAACATTGAGCTCACGGTGACAGACGAGACACCCACACAAGAGTATTGCCCTGCAAGTGATCTGTTCATTCCTGTCCAGAGTTTCCCCACATGGGATGACTAAAGCATCTAAAGATTCATGGCTGCTAGACACATCCACATATTGTCAGTATTGGAAATATAAATTTCATTATAGATATTTTGTTCAGCTGATACTAATAAAAAAGTTGAATATTTGGAAGGAATTTATAATGGCAAGACAGCAGTGGAGGTTTTTAAAGAATTGACTGAGGTCTATAGTCTTTCATTTCAGAACTAAATAAATCCATCATTAAATTGTGGTGTCTAGAGTACTGAGTACATTAAACCAGAAATGTAGCAGGCACATTATATGAAGACTCTATGAAATTTTCTCTCCCTAAAAACATGCTGGCCCCATGACTGTATTATAATTCTTCAATTGGCAAACGTACCTTTAGGAGTTGAGTCGCACCTGACATTATTTTTCCCACAACCACTAGGAATTTACATATAGCATACAAGGCAGGATGAATAAGTAAGTAACACATCGTCATCTGTATTATATAATGGAACTGTTGTTAGGAACATGTGTTCACCAAAATCAGTACGAAAAATCTACAGTTCTACATAGTTCTTGTAGGCTCAGGTGGCACTGGTGTGTATGTGTGTCCCTCTTGACAAGGATATAATTTAGGTTATAAAATAAAATAAAATTGATTTTTTAATATTAATATAGAACATGTTAAATATTACATCAAGAGAGTCAAGGTGGATGTATCGAGGGGCTGTTGACTAGTCTCAGACAGCTTAATTTAATTTCTGGTATTTCATTTGATTCCATAATTTTTGTTTGACACAAAGGGTTGAATTCATTACACCCTCTTGGTTTGACGTTGGCAAATTCTATCACTTCTGTCACAAAAATGCTTTTTGTCACCAGTTCATACTATTATAAATTTCCAAATACTATTTTGTAATAAAGAAATAATATGACTGCTTACATTAATTCTAAACAAGTGGGCATTAGGGAAAATTCAATGAATTACAACATTCAGCATTCAGCAAATTGTGTTGTTGGTTTCATGTTTTAAATTTCTGAAATTATGGAAAATCCTCCAAAAATTTTTAAAGCCAGCAGTATTATCTTCATTCAGGTGACAACATTTAAACCTCAAAACTTACGTAAGTGACAAATTTACTTTCACCCTAGCTGAAATCCCCCCCAAAATTTTTATGTTAAGTATAAACATAAAACAAATACAGAAATTAGTTACAAGCGCAGACTGATATGTGTAATTACATTTTATGTTTAAAAACTGACACAAACTTTCATAACATCAGACTTCTCCTTCTAATTTTTGATCAACACAAGGAGTGGTTGATCGTTCATTCCGATAGCCCGAGTCAGCAATCAAATGTACCACTACAAAGTTGATAGAAATGGTAGAAAACAATATTAATTTCTGCTGCAACAGAGTGAATGCTACCTGAATCGGAGAGTGCCATCTCATTTCAAAACACTGCAAATGCTGAAAATTTCCGGCATCATAAGAACAAATTAACATCATGGTAAATAAATACTAAAACACAAAGCACCCTCATCTTTATATCATTCACAGGAATACTAACCGTACTGAATACATGTGCTTTACATAATGATGCCCTACTGTGCTGTTGAATGTACTACAACAAACAAGAGAATCCCATCACAATAATCTTACCATGTGTTCCAGAAACTTCTTATAGTCTTTGTTTGTGTCTCATATTGCCGTTATCAATAATCGTGATGCAATAACCAGTATTTAAATATTGCAATAAGAGAAGTAAAAACTGAATTTCATTCATGTAAATTCCAATCTTGATTGCACTTTAAAATATTTGCACCATGTATGGAAATATTGTACATATATTACTGTAATTATCATTATAATATGGGCCATGACTGTGATCCCAATTGGATTTGCTATAACAGCGCTCTTCTTGTCAGCGTAAGCTTCACTATGGCAGAAGAGTGATGTTATTTGTAGATTCCAATCTTTAACATTCCCACAATTTTTTAATCACAAAAGAAGAGCATAAATTTCCATTTATTTTTGAGACTCTTTTATAATTTGGACAACAGATACTAAAAGATACATTTTAATTTGATTTTGATGGCTATCCTATCTTGGAATTCTTAGTGAATTCTGGTCTCATCAATTTCAGTTTCATGCAGATCGGTGACTGCTGACATAATTCTGTTGCGAACCATGCCAGGGGTTGCAGTTGACGGGTACCATGTCGTGTAGTAAACAATTATCCACTGTAATATAAACTCCCTTCCTGCCCTCTATACGTCAGTGCCTGTAAGTACGAGACTAAGAGAAGCAGAAATTTAAAATTAATACGTAAACACGTAGTACAGATTTTTTAAATGTCTCAACCCCTCCAGAGAAGAGGAGATTTAAGATATAATATATTATATATACAGTACTCTGTAAGCAAAAGAAAACAAAAGGCCTATTGTACTATATTTCTGTGAAGAAGCTGGTGCATCTGAGACGAGTGGGAGTTCAAATGAACAGAAATCTAACAAATGTTACATATCTTCTTTCAGTTCCTGTCGCCTGTTTTGAATGGTGAGAGATAACGTTATATTCCTTCTCATGTTTGCAGCTGTAACTTGATTTGTCAAAATGCAAGCGTTAAGTTGAGCACGTACTTGGAACTGATCTGAATGCTTGTGAACTTTTCCTGATAGCATCTTTGTGCTGATTTTTCATTGTTATGTTTTCAAACTTATTCTTTACAGATTTTTTTTGCTTTGCAGAAATCACTTATATTTAGTATTTTAGTTTGATCAGAAAATATCTGAAAGGTCATAGCTTGTTCTGTGTAACACCTTCACATGTTCAAGGTTGGC